AGGGTGCCGCGGGGCAGGACACAGGCTCCCACACACTGTCCTGGGGGCTGCAGGCGTGTGGTTTGAATATGGAAAGGCAGAAAACACCGCTGAAACTCCAGTGACCTGGACACACGAGAGCAGCGCAGTCACTGCTGCTTCGCGGACACAGCTGAGGTGCTTTGACTCCAGCCTGGAGCTTCCTGTTAGGTGCTAAGCAGAACTGAGCTCCTGCTGGGGTTTCCATGGCTCCATGAGCAGGCCTGTGCTCACCTGCCCGGGATGGGACCAGAGGAGGACACCTGGCCCTTGCCTCCTGCAGAGGCGCTGGCTGATCCCCTGTCCATGGTTTCATCCCGGGTTTTTTATCGGGTTTTCTCCTGCCTTCCTTCCAGGTGGATACATGGCAAGATTGCAATGAAAAGGGGGCTTGGAAGGGGCTGGAGGATCCTAGGAGCCCAGGTGTTCACTTTGCAGAGTGTCATCCCTGCTGGTGCAGAGAGATGGAGAAATCTTCAGCCCAGGACAAACCCCCATGCAGCGTGTGTTACTGCAGGGCTCCCTCCTGAGTAGCTCGTTGCAGCCTGGGTGACCCTGCCCATGCAGGCATGGAGGGGAGGGACAGGATGGGCTCTGCTGCACTGTGGACAGCTTGGGGACTTGCACCCAGGGGGCTCTCTCAGAGAGAGGCAGCACAGGGCTTCCTGGGACACAGCAGAGCATGAGCCAAGCTGCACACAGACACAGCTGGAGGGGGGAACACAGCCAGGCTTAGCTCCTGGAATTTCAAATGCCATTTCAGTGGTTATATTTGGTGTGCTATAAAACTTAATTAGTATAGCTCCATGTGATCCCGTGTAAAATAGTGTCTTCATCCCAAAGAAGGATGGGTTAGGAAGCACTTGGAGCAGCCCCAGACAGAGAAATCTCAGCTCCAGACACAGTCACTGCCTGCACTTGACCAGAGGTGAAGCCATCCTTTCAATCCTGATTTCTTATCTGGCCTGAATTAAGTGCTCTGACATAGAGAATTTGAGAAAGAATCACTGGCTGCCCGGGGCAACCAGGGTGTTCAGCCCTAATTCCTTCAGGCACTGCAATTCCTACTTACTACAGTCTTTCATTTACAATCTCCCTTTATTATTGCACTCAGGACATAAACATAGGACATAAACTTAGACAGCAAACATGGACATCAACTTAGGACTCAGGACATAAACTTAGACAGCAAACATGAGCACACAACCCCACTGGAGAGAGACAGAGCTGATCCAGTCTCCCTCAGCTGCCAAGATCCCTTCCACAGCCAGTCCAACACATCTCTGTCCCCAGAGTTGAAAAGAAACATTTCTGTAGTCTGCATTAAACATATTGGGCTAATTTTTCTACCTACAACCTCCTCCTCCATCCCAACCTCTGCAAGACAAAAGTATTAAGTACAGCACAAATCTTATGGAGAAAGTAGGAATGAAGCCTTATAAAACTTGCTTGAGATAGTCCCTTAGCTTAAATGGCCTGATTTTTCAGTTGTCTTTTCAGTTTTAATTTTTTTTCTAATTTTCTATGCTTTGTGCCAAACCTCTGTTATTTGTAAAACAGAATTGATGCTATAGTGCTTTAGGAAACAGTTTCAGCCAGCCATTTTAACACAACTTTACTGATGCATCAGTAGCATAAAAGTAGTACCAGTATTAACCTGATTTACAGGAATAAGTCTTTGAGCTCTGATTGCACAGAAAAGTTTGAGTTATATTTAGAATTTAAGTGTTGCCAGTGAATCTGAAATCTTTTGACAATGAATGCTGTGTCCAGGTATCACAGCAAAGGAAGAGGGACTAGGGGAGACATGCTCACATTAGAAATTCAGGAGAAATGAAGTCAAGTAAGTAGAACATGAAATTTTAAAAGTGACATCATTAATTAAATTGTAGACACAACCAGAAACAAAAGGTTTCCTTTTTCTAGAAGCCTGATGACACAGAGTCCAGAGGAGGAAAAGCCTTGAAGCACCATTGCCACTATATTGCAGATTAATCTTTAGATGCTTTAACATCCTCTAAGAGGTTAAAGGCATTTAGTGCATTAAAAAAGTCATGACCTCGGGGAGAGATGTGGGGGAAGCAGAAGGGCAGCCTTGCAGATGCACCCCCAACAGTCCAGTCAGTACTGCGGGCAGCCCCAGCCTAGAGGGCCTCCCTTCCTGATTTTATGTCTTATTACAAAGTAATCAGAGAAGTCTATTAGCCTCCCTTCCCTGCTGCAGGATTTTAGAGTGTATTCCTTCTTTGCACTGATGTGGGGATGCATAATTAAAACAAGCACCAAGGGACATCCCTGCAGGCTGCTTGCATAGCATTCAGTCACCTCAGGTTGGACACAGTGAGTTCTTCATCAATCTTACATCCACTCTACATCTCCCTTTCTCCAGGTTTAAAGCAGCCTGCCTCCTACACATTCCCAAACACACAAGTTACACCTGTGAGCATCCCTGCAATCCCCCAAAGACTACAGTGTCACAGCACTCCTTGATGCTCATCTTCCATGTGGCCCAGCACCTACACTGATACTCAGCTGCAGCATGGACATGGGAATCCCAGCAATGGCACTAGATGCTGTCATGGAAATAACCTGAATTGCAATTTAGATGAGGTTAGAGCAGAAACAGTTTATTCCTATGGCTATAGAAGAGCTGATAGGTAGCAGAAGAGCAACTGAATCTGCTGGTAGACTATTAAAAAAAGGGGAAAACAAAATTAAGGTGATTCAACTTTTCTTTTCCTGTACTAGCTGTATCTTTAGATACAGCAACATTTTAATGGTGATACCATTTGCTCTTTGACTTCACAAAAGTAATTAATTGCTCTCAACTCATTCCAAGTACACTGAGAATAGAGAATTAACTGAAAAATATATGCACAAGAAAGAGGTGGGGGAGCCAGTCTAAAATTTGGATCAAACCAGTCCTGTCATAGTGATGCAATCCTCTTCCCTTTGTTGGAGTGTGCCACTGAGTAAACACGCAAGCAAAGGCAGGAATATCTGTTGTTCTTGTGTTAAAGACACTTTGCCAACAGTTTGCAGGGAGCTGAATAAATTACTCCAGTCAAGATCACTGTGGGACCTTCCAGCATCCTGAGCAGTTGCAGAATGAAGTGATAAAGTGAAGTATAGCCTGAAACTTGGATAGGAGAGACATCTTTCAAGCAATTGGAAAGTTTTCCTATGTTTCCTCCTCTGTCTTTGTAGGAATATCTCCTAGGGAGAAATTCCTGGGCAGATCACAGAAGTTGGAACAGCTTTACCTCCCCAGCAGTTGTATGGGACTGGGTGAGTGTCTCAGTTTCCCCAGTCTTTGCTACCTTCTTCATTCTTAAATGAAGTCTCAGTGAGTGGTGGTTGAGTAGTTTAGAGCATATTCAGTAGAACTGACACATTCCAAGCAAAGTTCTTGCTGCTGTGTGAATGAGCTTTACCTCTGGCTGTCTGGTGGAAGAAGGGTCTGAATGCTCTCTCAGCTCCTTTCTTTGCACAGAGCCACCCTTTCATCATTGAGTGTTTCTGCCTTTAGTGCCTAATTTCAGGGGAGGTGGAGGAAACACCAACTGGATGGCATTCAAACTGTCACTTGGCTTGTCCCCTGCACCCAAACTGCTGCTGTTCTTTAAGCCAGAATTTTTTAAAGACCTACAGAAGGATTCCAGCTCCTTGGGGTTGGAGAAGTAACAGAACATTCATCCCATTGGAGCGGGGAGTTATCTGAGCATCCTTGGACACAGTGACAATCACACTGGCTGACTCTGGGTTTTCCTGCCCACCCTCCCTCATGTGTAAGAACCATGGCAGCATTTGTCTAATGACAGCAGCCATGGTTTGCAGGTTCACCCAGCAGCAAAGCTGAGCACAAATGCCACAGACACAGGATGCATACAGAGGACACTGACAAGTTCAGTCACACGGATTGCCACCAACAAGGTGTTAACCTCAACTGCACCCACTTGTGGTACCTATGTAAGACATAAACACAGCTAAGTTTCCACCTCTTCTTTAATTGGTAGAGCTCTGTGTTCACTGATGAAAGCAAATCATGCCCTCCCTCTCTAGGCTCACAAACAGATCCATGGGTGGCCTTGCTCTGGGCACAGCCCTTCTGCCTGACCAGTATCCCCCCACAGTCCCAACCCTCACATTGAGCTTTTCAGGTCCTTTACTTGCTGGCTGGTGCAGCTGGATGCACCAAATGAGCACTCCACCACATTCTGGCAGAATGTTCTGTTTCAGCCACCAACAAATGTTTCTCTAACTGTCCTTTAAGATCCTCTACTTGATCTTATTTTTTTTTTTCTCCTGCATGTCTCTCAAACTTCTGATCAGAGATTCTGTTTTTCTTTTGCCATCCTCCTCACACAAACTGAAGAATACAACCCACTGAAACTGGGGAATTACAGCTTCTGGACTCCAAAATGCTCCTTAAACATAAACCCTGTAATGCAATCAAGTGTGTTTTTCTTTCATCCCCAAGGTAAGCATACAGAAGGAGATACTGAAGAGAAGAAACAAGATATACAAGGGCTTCCTCCTGGTCACAACATCTGGCTTAAGCCCACCATGCTGGCTGAGGTTGGAGTCATGAGCAGCAGTAACAAAGGAGGCTCAGACTAGAACCTGAGACGGTTTAATGGGGTCCATCATACCACCTGAGTCTTTAACTCTTGGTGTGGTTTCTTCTTCAGATGAGAGACATCCCAAGAACCTGTCCTGAAGTGGCAAAGAGCTCAATGCCCATCTCTTAAGGACCACTGTTCATACAGGTTCACTCACACTAATTCCAACTTGGACCTTTTCTGATCTACATCTCCAAAGGACTTCATCAATTTGTGTTCATTCTTCCTTCTTTTAGCTGATTTTAGAGTAGGACCTCTTACTGTGGCTCTGGACTGACCTGTGTTAAAAGCTGGAATTCACTGCCAGCAGAGATTTCAAAAAGGTGATATTACACAAGTCATCCATACTCACTACAAGCACACAGCCAACAGAATCACTCAAGGCTGCTCTTTCTGCTTTCTTCAGGACAAGAACGAATCCATCAGGAAGGTTTCCCTGTGATCGCTCTTCCAGGAGACAGGGTGTGAGTTAAGAGGCCCACTTGGGCTGCACTTGGCATCTCTATCTCTACATTTCACAGTCCCAGAACCAAGGCAGAGGGCTGATACCCCTGGCTGCTCTCTGCCCTTGCCACAGCCCAAGCCCAAGCACACACGACATGTAGCCCTCCTTTTACACTGGAACAACACATAAAGAACTGTGAGCGGTGAGCAACAGGCTGGGGAACAATTCACAGCTGCCAGACACCCCTGTTCTATCCCTGTGAAAAGTCCAGTCTGCGAGACTCAAGGCACAGTTTACCTTGAGAAGGACCTTCAAAAGGCAGAGTCACTTTTTCTTTGGTCATGATATCAGGTTAGAAGAACTTGTCCATATGTCACATGCACTGGTCTCTGACAACAGAGCTTGATCTAGAACGCAAAAGGCAGCACTTCTCTTTCACAAAGCCAGTTACATCAGAGGTCATCATTAGCTCATCATATTTTGAAGCCAGGAGTCTTAGCTAAAACTTTTGTATCTTCTTTTCAATATTAATTAACTATAAGAATGTCTAAAGGCAAGGTTCCCATTGGAAACATTTTGCCTCTTACTACATGGATGTTTTTTCTGCTTGCTTCCAACTCCACACTGGGAAGAAACTTCCTTTCCTTGCATTAGTTTCCTCATCTCACCATCATTTTGCTGAAAATAAGAGAACTGCAGGATAAGCCTTGTTTTGGTAGGAATGGCAAAAGGTTGCAGATGTTTGAAGGTCTTTAAAATAACTTTTATTTCTAAAATGTTTAATATAAGTAGTTTTTCTGCCTCATCCATTTCCCAGAGACAAGATAAAATCATTCTTTACATTGTACATTCTGGAATGCTACAAGTACAAGCATTCTTGTAGCTCCTTTTTTTTTTTTTTTTTTAATTGACCAATCAAACCTTTTCAACTGTCTTAAATACACCATTTGGCATGGCAAGGAGAACAAACCCGTAACTCTTATCATCTCCACATCTGAGGTCAGCCTCTGCTGACACTGCCATGAAAGATGCCCATTTCATCCTGACTGATAAAAAAAAAGTACTCATAATGAACTGTTCTCACATTAAGCCAGGTGATAAACATTTTCAGCCAATATAGTCCTGAAATGGAACTGCAAGTAACAACTAGCTGGAATTTCAATTCATTACCAATGCCTGTTGCTTTTTTAAAACCTACCAATCCATCTACCCTCCAGTGCTTTAGTGCTATTTCTTATAGCCTTCTATGAACAAATGAAGACACAACAGAAACCTGTTGAAATCTCTAAAGCCATGTAAAACCCGAAGGCATTAAAATTTATTAAATGATGCAATAACAACAGAATTCTTTATTTACAATAGCATTATTTAACATCAAATAAGCAAATAGCATCAGCAAAGCAATATTAACTTGCATAAATGTCTTTAAAATTTCTCTGAATATATCTACCTTTGCATAAACTGCTAACACTAGAAATACAAACATCAATGCAGGTGAACAAAGTGATGTTCAGAGTCAACTCCGTTTTGAAAATAAATCACAACCTGAAACACTGTAAGCTTTCTCCTGAAGAACCATAGTTTATATATTGCTTAATTTTACCCTTGTATAATCTTTTCATATACACACATCTCAGATGCAACTTCATGATGAACTGTACAAATAAAACCCACAAATGACATAAAGGGAAAAAAATTAAATGACAGTAAATGTTTGAAGAAATGTGTCCATCATCTCTATTGAACAACATAAAGATTAAGTGATGATGCACTTATTCCAAAATTGTACACAATTCACTATACAAATATAATACATCAGACAGCTATGTAGGAATATACAAGACTTAAAAACAGATCTAAGGCATTATGCTAGATTTTAGCATTTTGAGGTTCTTGCACATAGCTTTTACCTGTAGTAAGAAACTTAAAAGATTTTGTTTTAGTCTACAAAGAAACACCAGGGAGAAAATTCTAATTAAAATCAAAGCCACTACAGTAAATTTTCTTTTGTGCAGAGAATGCTTTTGCTCTTAGGCAGCATACTACCATACAAATACTAGAAAACTTTTAAATTCACACCAACAATTAATGGCTTAAGTTGCATTTCAAAACTGATTGTGTATCTTTGGGTTCTGCAAGTGGAGCTGTGCCACCCATTTCGTCTGTTAAGCCCATATGAATTCCGCTTTTAAACAAAGATTAAAAAATGTATTGTATAAACTGCAAAAACATTGCTTTTAATTAATACAGGCCCAAAGGGATACCGGTGTGGGACAATATTTTAAGGATTGAGTACAAATTAACTCCTTGTAGCAAAACAGCTCACTTCACTTTTTAAACTCACCACATTACATGAACACTTAAACGGGTCGTACGACCATGTATATATGCTTATTTTTCACATTATGCGCCTTTCACATTTAATAATGTAAATAGAACACTGATTAATTGTTCTCTTAAAACAAAATCCAAGTACTTTCTCCGACAAATTTACTGTATACAGGATGAAAAATACTGATAATGAAGGGAATTGATTTGGCTTTTTTGTTTCTATAGTGATCAATATGATCAGAAGATTCCTTCACTCACTTTTCTCTTTCATTACTTAGAAGACGACAAAAGTCACAATGAACCCAAACGGAGCCGAAGTGATAGGTACAATCTCCTTTCTTTCAAAATGGCAATGGATGATGAAGTATCATAATCACTACAGATAAGGGTTTGCAGGTCTGTTGTGAAATGGGACAAATTTAAACTATTTTTTTCCACTGTGAAAAAGAATAATCTATCTGCAGAGGTTATGGTTAAGAACCAAAAAAGAATGGAATAGCAACAAAATTATTTTTAAACTCATTTACACTTCGTGGTGCATGAAATTAATTCCTTCAAATTTATACATTTCGTATATAAGTAATTTTTTTGTCAGATACATAATGCAAGTTCAAGACCAATGTTGTAGTAATGAGGCTGTGGAGGTTAGGACTGATGGTTATTATGTCCCATCAGCAGGTCAAAGAATGGCTCAGCTGACTAAGCATTCTGTTTGAGTTCTGCAACAGAATGGTGACAGCTGAAAACGTCTTGCTTCTCCAAAATGGTGGCACTGTCTTCTTTAAGGACAAACACAGACACAGCCTTTGTCATATTTTCCTCAGCCTTAACATAGAATAGCTGCTATTTTATTTGAACTCCCACCTGAATACCAAAACAAATTAAATGACAACAAGACAAACTTTTCAATCCCAAAAGGCTGATGAGATATTATAAAATGCATTGCATTTTACATTTAATCAAAAAATTTGTGTTCAGGTTAGAAAGTTTGTGGATTAGTGTCCTGGTTCCGGCCAGGATAGGGGTAACTTTTGCAGAAGCCAGGAGAGGGCATGGCTAGGACCCAGAGGTTATCCTATAACACCTCACATCATTCCCGGGGTGGGGAAGGGAGTCTCTTCCCAGGAGAAGGGCTCTCTTCTGGATCAGCGCAGTGGCGGAGGGAGCATCGGGCATGTCGTGAGTTTCCGTCTGTCTCTTTCTTGTACCCTCTGTCACTAGTACTGAAGTTGTAACTGTTTTCTTATCTCATTGCTGTTTTCAGTAAATTGTTCTTATCTCAACCCATGATCTTTACCTTCCGTTCCTCCAATTCCCCTCTCCAGTCCTCCACATGAAAAGATGGAAGGGGAGCAAATGGGCTCACGGTTTGGAGAGTCTCAGTGGGAGCACTAAATTAGGGAATACTATTCCTAAACAATTAGGAATCAGCAGAAAGAAAACAGGTCAAACTCATCAATTTCTAATATTCCAAGTCCTCAGAAAGTGATGGATAGTAAAAGATTATTCAAACCACAGTGGGCAAGGAAAAAAAGCAACACGCCTTAACAGTGGCCTGCTTAGTAACAGTTTTTCTAAGATTTGTTACGAAAGGATATAAACATACAAAAATCAAGAACTGGTTCCTACAGTGGCTGCATATAATATAGGTTAATTAAATGGTATTATGAGCAGAATCACAAGGCTTAGAAAATGAGAAGTCTCAAGCCTACAAATTAGGTCTAATCAAGGCATTGTGATCCTTTACAAAACACTTTTCCAGGAGACACACACGGCTAAGAAGATATCTAATTTAATACTGAAGTACCTCATTTGGAATCAACTTCACAACATGTATATCTCACAAAAATTATACAAGTAAAACACTTAAGTTTTCAACTTAAATTATTGCTTGTTTACATATAAACTGGATTTTATGTACCTTACAAAACGTCTTCGTAGTCCACACTGCTTTAAAATAATCAGAAACATGATAGTGGTGAAGTCTGTAGTGATATCTGCTATAGGTATTACAGGAATTGTTATTTTCCCAGCTAAGGGGATGGGAACCAGAAATTATCATGCTTTAAAGCAGGTATCTTTGATATTATGCACCAATTCTGCCACTACCATAATCATTACATGCATTACCATTGAACTCTGCTGTTCGGCATCCAGTAACCGGCTGTGCAGATTGCTGGAAACACACCTAAGGAAATAACGGAGTAACCTGTTTTTTAATTCTACTAGAAAGAGTAAGATGACAGAGGTCAGGAGAGCCAGGTTAAAAAAAAAACAGATTTGCTGATTGTGAGGAATTTAATTAAATGAGAATGTAACCAACTTGTATGTTTGGATTAATGACTTGCATCATAAACACTACCACAAAACCCAATCAAATCACCCCTTATAAACAGCCCTCTCACAGGGTAATTTTCATCTGTTTCACAACTTTAACCCCATTCAAAATTGGTCTGTATAGTTTTCTGCATCAGTTGATCTTCTCTGACTTGCTGTCAGTGGAACATGCTTGTTGGAGGTCTCTAAATGTACCAGACGTTGCTTTTATGCCCTCCTCCATGCCTCCTCTCTGCCCCAAAATGCAGGCCTTAGTCTAAAACACCAGTTTTCAGACAGAACTGAATCCTTTGCACCAGACTGTGTAAGCCAGGGAAAACAAAGCAAAAAAACCCCAAGGTCTAGAACTAAACAGAAACAGAACGAGAGCATGGTTGTTTTTCCTTAAATACATACATTTAAATACATTCAATCTGACATGGTTTATGAAAATTGCCTGTCAACATTTACTTTGCAGGAGAGATCTAAGTTGCACTAAGGTGAATGCAGTGAACAGACTGAGCAATGTCTGTACGCTAGCTCCAGACTGTCAAAGAAGAGGCTGCTCTTGGGCAACGCCCCCGGCTCCCCTCGGGAAGGCAGGGCTGAGTCCTGTTGGCAGCAGGCAGCCGCCGGGGCCGGCAGCTCCGCGGGGACAGACAAACAGACACAGCTCTTCAAACTGGTAAGGGTTTGGGGCCATCAGCCCAGTCAGCTGAAGAAAGGAGCAACCAAACCACCCTCAGGGTCAGCAATATTTCTGCAAAAGAAGAGAAATGGGGGGAAAAACAAATGAATTCTTCCTGCTGGGATAGTGAGGACGGACAGGTCAGTGAGATCTGGGATGCTGTCAACTGTGCACTACTGTAATGCTTTACACCTGAAATTTAATCGGAATTTATAAAGCTAAACTATTACTTGTGTACACTGATACAACTGACCAGTGATTTAGTTCCTTTGGTATCAGTGGTGGCTTGATTTCACTGCATTCTTAGGTCCTTAATTCATTCCAATTACCCTGGATATTATAATAACTCAAGATCATACATCTGTTGTAAACTCCACCTGAAGGCATAGCAATAGGGTTTAAAAGAAGTCTCATTCTCAGAATATGTGCAAAAATCTCTCAGTGCTGCATCCCTGTCAAAGAAAACAACTGCCTTGGCTCACTTTCCCTTCCAAGACTCATAATAAAAAAGGGAATAAAGAAATAAAGCCAGCTTCAGCTATGGATCCCTAGATATGTCTTTTACCTCATAATTAATACCCTTGTGATGTCTTTACACAAATATAGTACAAACTGGTTTCAGCTGAGTTGATTATCTTCTTTCTTATTCACAAAAACATCAGGATGTGGTTTTCACAGTTGTTTTAAGACCACTCCTTCCAGTGGCTGCAATCTGTGCCTTTCTGTCTCCCTCTCCTTGTAAATGCCTTCTCCCACGGGGTGCTGTGGTCAGTCAGGTCAGAGAGTCAATCCAGCCAAACCCATCTTCCTCCTCCCCTGGGGCTGCTTTTCACTCCCATGCCGTGGCTCTGGCTGTGAAGCAGCTCTTTGCTCACAGCTTCCTGTCACGCATGAGGAAGGCCCTGTTTGCTCAGGGACAGTGCTGCTGGCTAGGCAGCTTTCTCACCAGTCCCCGTGCATGCTGCTAGGCTGCCTTCTGGAAGCTGCCTACACTATGCTTTGGACCTTACCACAGCTTCCTCTGCGCTCACACAAGGCCTAGAAATGTAGCTAGAAATGACTAGCCTAGTAGTAGAAATGTAGCCTAGAAATGACAAAGTCACTGCCAAGAGTTATCCTGCAAAGCAGGAAAGCAAGGTCCTACGTTTTATACATCTCCTATTCCCAGTTTAGCTGGTGCAGCTGGAGCTCCTTGGGTGTGAGCAGCAGAGTCCTGATCATGGCTCCTCCTTCCTTCATCACACCACAGAGACAGCACACTCACATCCCTTATGCCCTGACTAATAACAAACTAAACTTTGACTCTTCTTTCTAACACGCTGAGAGGTAACTCAGGGACCCTGTCAGTGGTTTTTGAAGTGGAAACAAAAGTGAAAATCGAAAGATGTCCTTATTTTCAGGACGGACATTTAGGAAACAGTATCTCCAGAGATATACTAAATAAACACTCCCACTATACCAGCGACTTGCAAAAAATTATGTAATGCAAAAGTTGCCCATTAGTTACACAGCTTGAACTTTCTAAAAAAAAAAAAAGCAGCTTTGTAGGAGTAGTTTATGGCTCAGCTGCATGAAAAAGCAGCTGTTTAACCTCTATTACAGTTCAAAGTTCAGTGAAAAGTATTTATAGTGCATATAAACTCCATTTTCATTGACAGTCAGAGGTACATTAGTAGAATAAATGTAAAATCACCAAGTGCAGTCTGATGTACCTTTCCAAATAATTTGGGATGTTTGAAGAAGTTGCTTTTCTTCAGGTGAAACAAAGTTTCTCTTATGCATTGCTACTGTCCTTCTCATTATCATGGCACCGACACCACTATTATAATTTTACACCCCAGAGACTCCCTGCCAAAAGTCATGCCACTCATTTCTTGCCACCTGCACCCTGACTTCTCTCCACCGTCTCTTGTACCCAAAAAGGCCCACAAGAGAATTGGAGAGGCACCTTTTACCATGGCATATAGTGACAGGACAGTGGGCAATGGCTTTAAACTGAAAGAGAGTAGGTTAAGATTAGATATAAGAAGAAATTCATTACTGTGAATGTGGTGAGGCACTGGAACAGGTTGCCCAGACAAGTTGTGGATGACTCATCCCTGGAAGTATTGGATGGGGCTTTGAGCAGGCTGATCTAATGGCAGGGGGTGCCCTGTCCATGGCAGGGGGTTGGAACTACCAATTTATGATTCTGTAATAATGCCTTGGTATATAACAACTTCTGCTAGAGCAGAATACACTGCATCTTTTTATTAATCAAAGTGGTCATGAAATGGCTGCAGAAGAGACTCTTTATGTACAGATCCCCCACTCTTGGAGACTGACATTTGTATGTTTATATGAGCAAGATGAAGATGTGAGAAGAATTGGCTTTTGGGAAGTTTTAAATATATAAGAATACAAAAAAGACAGGGATACAATAAAATATATATGTATGGTTACTTCTGCCTTGCTACTTTCACATTCTTCATTTTCACTCATGTTATTAACTTCTCAGACAGATGTTTCCAATTTCCCCTATTACTCAAATTCCTCTTCTTTTACAGCAGAGAACTTAATCCAGGAGGAGGGGCCGCTAGGTGGCGCCTCCCCCGCATCACTCGGCCCCTCTCTGTCAGTCCGTCCATCGTCTGTCTGTCCCTCCCTCCCCCTCCTTCTGTCTCTGTGTCTATAAAGCAATCCTCCCTCACATTAATTACTATTATCCAGGGCACTTGGAACTTGGTAAGTAAAAAGGTACCGTACCCACTCCAGCCTCAGTATATTCACAGTTCTGCTGTGCCTGTACCCCTTTTCTTACCCGTGCTGCATCTCCGTCCTGCTTTATCATATCCATTCCAGGCAGCTGGTTTGGAAAGAGATTGCCTCCCCTCATAGCAGGATCATTAACCTATTGGTAACAAGATATTAAGGAGAATGAATCAAGAAATGTCTTGGGAGGAGGGCTGGGAACTTAAAAGAAGCATTACAGACCACTACACTACTTGCATACCAACACCCACTCCTGAGATGATGCTAAAGTCAGGGAAGTGACTGTATAGCCAGGCACTCCTCTTGCACAACATGTATTTGACTTATATTATTCTGCTTTACAGTCAACAATAAAGATTTCATTCCTGATACTACAACCCTTATGCATATTTTACAAAGGTTCCATAAATTATCTCAGTGTTATCTAAAGAGGAAATCCCTGCTATCAAAGTTCTGAGAGCAGAAACATATAACTACCTTCCTAACCTCAATAACACATGGCTTTGCTGCTTGCAAGCCACCATACACTTTTTTCAAAGCCTGATGAGATAACATGTAGGCTAAATGATACCAACTACTGACTCAGTTTTAACAACACTTTCCTGTTTGCAAGCAATGGGAGAAAGGTAACATTACATGGGAAAACGTGCAGTGGCGTGCTTTCCTAAAGGATGGTCTCCACAATTTTCTGAACACAGTCACAGCAAAGTATTGAAGCTATGTGTTTCTGCACAGCCAAAAGGTCTGTCATGCTTAGCCATGTGTAATTTGCCAAATTTACAGCATAGCTTTTCCATTCAAAGCATTAATCTCACCATGTAGGAACTGGCATATAATACAAAACAGAGCCCTTCAGCAAGGTTCTGCAATATTAGAAGAAACAGTTTGCCTTACAAGTTTAACAGGGAAAGAAAGAAAACTCTTTCTAGGAAGACTTTCTTGAGTCAATTCTACTCCCTCAGAGTAGATCCCATTCTCATGACACTCTCCCTCCAGACATATATATTGGTAAGATCTTGTCTCAGACTTCTCTTGTTGAGGAAGGCTTTTGAATTCACCACACAAAGTCTTCTCATTTCAGGTCCTCCTGACTCTTATTTCTGTTGCTAGTCACTGATTTTGAAAAATACATTCATATGCAACCATGAAAAGATTGGTTTCCAATCCTGCCAGATACAAGACTACTGTTCAATGAGAAAGATTAAAAACTTAAAATATTTTTGCCTTAGGAATTTTGACTCCAAAGAAATTAAGTGCTGCAAGCCTCCTAGTGATGTTTTCTGCTCCTTGAAGTGGAGAGATTTTTAAACCTGAATGTGAAAATTGAAATCAGAAGGGAAGAGAACCACATTATTTTATTCAGAAAGAACAGACAGCTTTGCAGCTTTATTTGCATGCAACTGATGAATCCATGTTTAAAAACTGCTTTCTGCTACTAATCAATATTCATTAGAACGTGCAAGCACAAATATCTTTTCTGATTGTTTAGTAGACAAAGGGAGGTAAAAATGAAAGCAGAAATAAAAAATTGTATCCTGAATCAACAGCAGTTTTGAAACCAAAAGATGACTGCATGATTTGCCTCATGGCACTTAGGACAGGTATGGAAAAGGAAAGTAGCTCCAGGCCACAACAAAAGGAAAAAAGGCATCAATGAAGTTTCTATTAAAGAATCTCTTTGCCAGTAAGAGGCAAGAATCCTGACTGACATAGTATCAGATATTAACAAAAAACCCAACCCAAACTCAAAAAAACCCCCAAAAAAACCCTACTATTTTGTTATATGAATACATTTGCTTCAGAAGATCTTAAAACACCTGACATTAACTTTTCTGACTGCAAAACAATTCAATTAGAAAAGTATGGAGAAGAACAAAGAAATTGAAAGGTTTTTATAATTTTCTGAAGAAAGGTAAAGTGGTGTTATCATATATGAAGCCTTACTAAAAAACAGCAGGTATGTTTTACAATTCCTTTGCAATTAAGCAAAATTAATAGTCTCCCAAAAAACAAAGTTATATACAAGGTGTATAACAAGTAAAATTTCTTACCACTCCAGAGCTCCTTTAATCTGGTATGCTGAACAAAGTCAAAATACCATTTCAAGATAACTCTTCTTAAATGCCATAATAATTTTGGCCTGGCGAGTACTGCCCTGTGCAGATTAATACACAACTACTCTGACTGGACTGGGTTTACATCACATAGTGAAAAGCCTCTTTTCTTGCTCAGGTTTCAAACTGCTTCTTTGATAGCTCAGTAAATAGCACGGATCCATGATGCAAAGTAAGTAACAGGCAAAACCATGGCAGCACTCCACTGTGCCAACAAGAAGCTGAGGACAAGCTGATCACAGTAAGGTCTCTGAATGGTGCAACACCAGGAAGGTTTACTTTCTTGATGCCTGGGAAAGCTGTTTTGGACAGGAGGAACCTGCAGACCTGGCAGCCAGCATTTCAGCATTCCTGGTAGCAGCCTTCTAGAAGAACACTAGTAAGAGCAGCCTGAAGAGATTTAATGTAATTATAAGAGAGAAGATGATAATGAGACAAGATCTCATTCCTCAAATATATAAAAGAGCCTCTAAGTATATAATAATTACCAAGCCCATTTTGGCCACAACCTTTTTGCTTGGTGACGCTGGGAGCCCAGGTGGTAAACCAGAGAAGTTGGAGATAACACAAGTATGATCAGACAGACACCAAACTTAGTATTTCTGAGCTCTGGATGCATCTGTCTGATACAGCATAGTGCCACAACAAGAAAGGAAAGAGAGCCAACAAAATCTGTTTGGTACCAGGGGTAATACACCTGTTCTCAGCTGCTAAGTCAGTCCAGGCACAGCTGTTTATTATTAGGTAGTAAGATCTTACTTCCAAAACCATCCAATAGTAATAATGTTGAGTGTTTTTCAAAAGCTAGAACACATTTGCAGAGAGTAACAGTGAATCACTGTTAGTCTCACTGTGGTTAGAAAGAGACAAGCATGTGGAGTTCAAATTATGTATTGTGGAACAAAAAGTGACACTGAATAAGTAAACAGAAATGTAGGTGACAGTATAAGAAAACCCCAAAGAATGAATGAAATGGCAACAGTCAGCAGAATTACAGAAAATACAGTCATTTTGAAAACCACCAGTTACAAGAAAAAGTTCAGCACAGTCTAGGTCAATTGCTAAATAAAGACGTCACTTAAGTAAAACATTACGCCCTGAAAAAAAGGTGTCAATTTTAGTATTCAAGTATACATTTTTAGTTACTTGTGTTTCTCAAGAAAGAAAATGCAAAGCAGTACAGCACATTCCTGAGGACTAAAAAAAGTACTGTCTTGCGGTCCAGAAATGTCCCCTCAGCTGTCAGCTGGCCACCTCTGACCTAGACCAAGCATAAAACATTTGCTTGCAGATGACACAATGCTGGGATGGTAAATCAGGAGGAAAGCAGGTCACTGTTACAGAATGAGCCACAGCACTTTGCTTTAACAGACACAATCTAAGAAATGCAATTTGATGGAGACAGGAGGGAGGCAACACTCCTGGGAACAAAGAATGCAGAGTATGTTGAGGAGCATTTGGGGGACCATCATAAGGGTTTCAGTGGGACATTGTCCCCCAAAGAACCAAGGCAACCCATACACTGGAAGAGAAATTACAAGCAGAACTTGACTCTACACAGCTTTGGTGCAGTCACTGTTAAATCACTGTCTCTGGTTACTCCATTCATGTTTCTAGGAGGAAGTTACAACAACAGAGTTTAAGGCAGATCCAAAAAAGGAACTGATGGGCTGAAACCCAAATGTTGAGATGGATAAAGAACCTCAGCCTATTTAGCTTACTGGAAGTTAGATCTTGTAATCTAACAGGAAGGAAAAGCAATGTGACAGCTGTGCCAGGGGAAACAGCCTGCATGGAAATCTTCAAAATAAAACCAGATCTCTTTCTACAATGCAGTTTGTAAATTCAGGTTCCTAAGAAAAATTGTGTAGCACAGGTATACTGAGAAATCAGATAGGGTCACAACCTTTAAATCTCCCTTCTTTTCTTTTTTGGTTTTACTACTGTTTTACTACAGTAAATGTGTGCAACTCTATTAACCTGGTAACTAATAATAAACAAAATCTGATATAATTTGGCTTAGCAACTGGGAATATCACAGAAGGTGACAGATCTGGGAGTATCAAAATTACTTTGGGTCACCAGTATGTAGCAGCTGTAAGGGACAAATGTGATCTGCAGCTATATCTGTCAGAGTATTCCAAGAGAAATGGGGAAGAACTAGTGTCATGCACATGGCTCTGGTGCTTAGGAAATACTGATTCAAACTACAATAGCTGCAGAAAAGCAAATGCAGTTTAAAGTCTAAGAGACTGAAAAAATATGGCTTGTTTGGCTTACAAGAAAAACCCCACAAAATGCAAAACTAAACAAAATAAATCTACCCAAACTAACAACAACAACAACAAAATGTTGATAGAATCTTTCTAAAATACAGGAGAAGAAAAGAGCTACTTAAGGTAAATGACAATATTGGAAAAGTAAATATGCTGTTATCAAATTTAGGCTAGAAAAAAGTCATACATTAACAACCAGCTTTAAACTGGAACATTATGGTATCAGAAATAAGTTATAGCAAGAGATCTCTATAGCAGAAGATGTTACCTGAAGACACAAGAGGTACCTTCCTGCCAATATTTCTAAGAAAAGTCCATAATTTCAAGCCTGTATTTTTGAACAAGCTGAAGGTCAGCTTTGAAACAAATATATGAGCCTGTTAATTAACAGAATTTGTTTATCAAACACTTGAAAATAATGTACTGAGAGAGTTTAATTGCAGGCTGACAAACAGAAATGTTATTTTTTCTCATTTCAGATATCCTAAGTAGCATATCAAATAAGAATGAATGTGAATTCTCTCAGCAGAAAAGGTTACTTACCTATTGATTCAGCAACCTATTTTATATGCATCACATTACAAAAAATGTGCATTTAGTGCTTGTAAAGTTGCCACATGGATAGCTCTGACAGCTGATTGAAAATTTATTGTTTGGGGCTACAAATACTGTGGCAGTTGAATCATCTTCCAAACCCTGGCCATACAGGCAGCTTTCACTCCTCTCTCCAGTAAGGAGCTGCCTGCCATCCACTTCCAGCCTTCACTGCTGGGAAAATCAGCAACTGCAGCTGTGCCACAGACACTTACCTACTGCGAACAGGAGCTACCATCAGCATGTGCTCCCCATGGAAGCCCAGGAGCAGCTACAGTGCTCTCTACCTCACTGGTCACCCTGGCTATTCGAGTGCAGAACTAAAACCAAAGCTCTTGTATCATCATTTTTCAAGACAGCTACTAAGAGAAACATAATGCAGTGGACCTGAAAAACTACTGGAAGTAAAAGCAAATCCTCTAGCTTGTCATCTCACATCCTTAGATTCTCACCTGCTCAGGACCCATGGAGGACAACCCTGATGTAGGCACAGAGGTCGCTGAGGTCATGCTGATCTGCCCTGTCATCTGGTTCATGTTGTTCATACCACTTGTGTTGGTTGCCATGGATACACTGATGTTCATGTTATTGTTGTACATGCTGGTGCTTGCTTGCTGCCCAAAATGTGGTGGAGACTGTTGTGAAAACATGCTACAGCAAGGAATGGAAAAAGCAATGTGTCAGAAGGCTGAAGGCACTAAGAAACTTTTTAAAATATATCTTAAGCTAGAATTTCTATATACTGTCATTTATTCCAACTTCAAAGGAAAAACTAGTTTTCAGCTGCATCGATGTCTAAGGAGTAGATTTTCAAAATTTAAGGTCCCATGTCTGTGTAAAAAATGCATGCCTTTGCATGTGAAACTATGGCAGAGTACAAATCTGTTATGCACATGCAAGAACAGCCAATTAGCACTCTAAAGGAGCTTTGTATGTATTTTAAAGTAATGTCTGGAGGGAGAGGAAAACACCTTTAACCTCCAGTGTTAGCACAGTGCAGAACTGTTGAGCTAAAATTGAAGACAGGGTAATAAACTTTCCTTTTTGCAAAATAGGCTGTTTGCATATATGAATACCAGATTTGCACATACAATTATGGCAAGTGGGCTCACAAATATAGACATGCAATTGTGCACGAATTTATTTACTAGGTCTTTGCATCAGGTTTTGAAAATATGGCACTGTAAGAAATGACATCAAGTCTAAGGTATCTATGTTTCTCTAAGGACATTTCTGAACAACTTACAGGGGAGTAACTATGGGAAACCTCATCCTAGATTTTATTCAGTCCAAATGCTTTCTGGACAGTATTTTCCTTCCCACTGAAAGCCACATGAGAGACTTCACACTTCCTAAAATGCACTTCACTGTTTACACATCAGTCTTCTCTAGTCTTTGAGCATAATTTAACAGCCAATGAAAGAATTATTACTGACAATGTGTCTGTTTAGAGGATGTGCATTAGACCGAAATACTGGAAGGGCTGCTGTGTCTCATTATCAGTGGCTGACTTTCCCTTCCCTGTGAAGCACTGCTCCCACAGCTGAGGAAATCTTTCAGGGTTAACACTCAGTCTTGCACTTGGGTACTCTGTTAGGCTACTGCTGTGCACTCTGAGACCTGGTGCAGTGCAATGGCATTCTGGGCACAGGACCAAACCCAGAAAATCCCACTATTCTCTTCCTTCCAATTCCATGTCTTTTCAGGCCACCTCACCCCATTTTTAAGTTGTTATCTGGATGGCTGAAACAGTACACTACAGATCATTGTGAATACTCAGTGGCTTGTGTAAGCACATTTGACATGTCTCTGCTGTAGAGCTGCAGCTCAGCAAAGCCAACCATTGGACTTCTGGAGCTGCCCCTGCTGCCATTTTTGGCAGAAGCCATGACAGTGGCAGCTATGCCTCCTGCAGATGCTTCAGGAAGACTGTGAGGATGATGCATGGACAAGGATGAGGGTAAGAGATAAATCAGCTGCCTTAGGGGGAATTTTACTTGGATTAGCCTCATCAATAAAATACTGGTGTTTTGGGTTACTTAAATCTTTGTCAGCTAGCTGGAAAAAGACTTGTCACTGTGCTAGGACAGTAAGCCTGAGAACTCCAGGGTGACAAAAGCACAGTGCTAGACACAGCTGTGTGCACCCCAGTGCCAATTGATAAAAGGCTGTACCTGACAGCTCCTCCCATTTTCCAAGGAAAAGCTCAGATCACTGCCATCTGGAAGCTCATTGCTGCCTACTAATAGTGTTCAACATCCAACCCATTTGATTTGGACAGACTGATTATTAGAGCTACACCCACTGGGGCAGGGGCCTCAGCTGAAAAGGTGACTGCGTGTGTGAGGTATTGCTAAAGTGCTGTCAGGGAATGACAGCTATATGCTGACCCCCAGCATGTGCAAGGACTAATGGGCTGAACCTGGTTACACTCCAGCATTTAAAGTGGGAGGTGATAATCCAGTCACTGCAATTCCAGAGCAGCAGAATGCACAGGCTCTGGCTTAGCTGATCCAGCCACGTAGAAAGCAGTGTGGGATGAAAATCATATGCAGAAGAAATGCATCCACACAAACATTAGGGGATGGAGCTCACTGCGCAGCACAGGTGCTTCTTAAGGGCACACAGTGTCTGATCAGTTGTAATAGACAAAGCAATGCATTGCGTGGATGCAGGTCTGTGCACTCACTCTGCCTGGTATGAAGACAGAATTTAAACCAACTTGTAAAGCCAAATTGAAAAGAAATCTCTTTTAGGACAGATAGTTAGCAACAAACAAACACACAAACAGTTACATAAAACGAGCCCATAGATAAGTGTAGACCATCAATGACCCCATTACTCTGTGTGCTCATTTTGGTTTTCTTCTGGATTTACCTGTTACCACCCATATTCCCTTGTGCCCACCCATTCATCTCCGTAGAGGACTGATAGGCAGGATTAGCCTGAGACTGCTGAATCATGGGGCTTTGAGTGTGAGCCAGCCTTGGTGACATCAGTGGACTCTGAGGAGTGGTGGCCCCTGTGAAGCCTGGATCAGGCTGCTGACTAATACCTGAAGAAGAAAATGAGAAATTTACCCACTGTACATTCAGAGTTAAAACAAACCAAGAGCTCAGACCTGCAAATGTGTCTTTAACCAGTCTTACTTTTATCATCTGGTAAAAGCAGATACCAAGTTTAGAGTCGGATGGACATAATTTGTTATATCAGCAGAACTTTCACATAATATATTATATAATATAATTATAACATAACTTATCCAGTAGGTATAAATAAAGAAACTGTATAGCAGTAACTGTATGGAGGTAACTGTCCAGAACAGGTTTGTGGCTTTGTAAAACAAAGAAAGGAGATGGTATTAATTATATTACACATTGGGTATGGGGTAGGAAATGGAATGCCTTATTTAAAACTGATTTATATTACTTAAACTGAAGAGGCTTTTGTTTAGTTCACTCAAAATTCAGAAGCCATCAAGCAAATACATACACATATATGTGTTTGTGTGTGTGTACATGTATTTATCTGCATATATCTATATATAAATAAACACACACACTGCACTGCTGCTGCTGCTCAAAGAAAGAGCAGTGCTTGGAGAATAACTGGTACTAGAGCTAGGAAAGTGGAACCTCCAAGGGGTCCAAACTGCCACGTTTTCCACTGTTCCCAGAGAGCCAGGCAAGAGCCTGTGGATCAGGGGCTCGGACCCAGCACTGGGGGCACACAGAGGAGTAAAGACTGACAAAATTCACTGAGGGGAAGTGGAAGCAGTACCGTAGTTCGGAGGAAATGGGAACTGCTGTGCGTTTGCCTGCGGGATGCGCGGGTTGCTCATGGTTGCCGGGATGCCGCCGGTGGCCACCATGCTGGGGGTCATGCTCAAGCCTTGGCCTCGCATCATCAGTGTGCGCTGCTGCACCTGCTGCTGCTGCTGCTGCATCTGCCGCTGCCGCAGGTGCTGGCTCAGGATCTCCCGCTGCCTCTGCGCCAGCATCTGCGCATTGATGGGGCCCTGGGGAAAACCACCACCCATCCGTCAGCAACCCTTCCAAGGCAACCCAGCCAGCAGAGGCATCTCCACTAGAGCAATCTCAAAGATTCCAGCTTTTTTCCCCCTCACAACACAACTAGCAGAAATACAAAGCAGGAGAGAATAAACTTGCTAATGCTTCTGCTGGGAAAGCCTTCCAACACTGCAAGAGTCAGTAACTGAAATAATACCAGTGTTTAAGGCTGCAGTGATTTGTATTTGCAAATGGAGCAGTTCATTAAAAGCACACATCTTTAGGAAATGAGAAGCAATGGTTAAAAAAGCAGTTAATATCAAATCTTTTTTAAACTGTCATCCATCCTATGTAAAAATGGGAATGACTCTCAGAAACGAAACAGCAAAATACTCCCTTATCACATAAGATTGCAATATTTGTATTGAAATTGTACTTGCCACACAGCATAACTATTGCATTATATTGGGGCAAGAAAGCAAAAAAGGAAGCGACTTTCTTTTTTAAAAGGTATTATTTTTCTCACCTGTGTTGGCACTCCAGTTCTCAAAGACAGATTCATATTGGAGACGCTGCTGATCTGGTTTATCAGTGGCTGCCGATTCTAAAGAGAAAAAAAACCAAACCACCCCAACACCAAAACCCAAAAGATTTTAGAAGGAAAGGCAAAACAAGAAGTGTTACATACAAAGTCATACAGATATACTTCCCTGATCAGCTGGTCTGTAGACCTAATTCTACATATCCAAGCAGTGACTAATTTTCCTCCTCAAATCCTACTCCCATTCACAGAATACTGCTTCTTAAAGAGATAATACAGCATGAAAATAACAACACGGGCACTACGCTGTTTACACCAAACATGCTCCCTTCACAGTTCCTGTTCTTTTCACTTTGGGACTGGACTGTTGAGGTTTACTCCAAACTAGACCTCATTCTGATGACTGAAGTCAGAAATGATGTTTCCTCCTTAAATACCATAAGCATTGGTATCTCACTGACAGTACTACAAACCTATGTATTTAAAAACAAAACAAGAAACAAGAACTTAATTCTCAGAAGCAGACCAAGGCCGAGGAAAAAAAAGGATGTAGGATGTAGGCAACAGGCAGCAATAAAAGCAGTTAGATTGGCAGAAGAGTCAAGATAAAGCAAATAGAAAAAGACGTATATAACAAAAAGCACCAATGTAACCTTGCTCAAAGACTTAGTGAGACCTAGACTTAAATAATACACTTACTAGATTTAAATACTGGACTTAAATACTAGACTTAAATAAAAAATGCTTGTATTGTTCAAAGAACAATATGAAGGTGCCAAAAAAGAAGACCAACAAAGAGAACGAGCAAGGCACTATCTTGTCCAAACTCACTGTGGCTCCTGTTAGATTTTAGCTGAGAAGGGGAAAGAAGCAAGAGCCGCTCTCTTTGGAGCAGGCTGACCGCACGTGCCGCCCAGGAGAGAGAGCAGGGCACGGACGGGGCCGTACCTGCTGTGCCTGGAGCCGGTGCTGCAGCTGGAGGCGCAGCTGGTTGGGCTGGTTCTGCACGATGCCGGCGGGGCGCAGGCCGGGCCGTGGCTGCATGCGCAGGGCGGCGTAGCCCGGGCGCTGCCCCATGCCATGGAAGCCGGGCTCCTGCATGGGCGCGTAGCTGCCCTGCGCCATCTGCGCCTGCGCCGCGTACTGCTGCGAGAACACCGGAGCCTTCTGCTCCAGCAGCATGCTGGACTCCTGGCTCGGGAACGTCTCGGGGTCGACAGCTTGGCTCTGCAGAAACACACCAACAACAGGAACAGTTGGTGGGACGTGGCTTTCCAGAGGATTATATGGGACTAATACAGACAGCCTGCGAAAACAACCTTCTAGGATGGGAATGTTTTGAAACAGAAAATCACATTAGCTCTCTTTAGCTCAATATAAAACTTAAAAATAAGCAGAACTGCATATTTGAGTATCAAAATATATTCACAGAGACAAATTCCTCCTCTCTCTTTTCCTTTGTTATGCTGGTTTTTTTCTTTATAAAACCCCTTAATCTTTCTTGTGTTCTTTACACAGACATTGCATTACTCTTCCAATGAATAAAAACCTGAAACAACAAATGCTAGATCAAAATCTGTAAATGAAGTGATGCTACCATATTTTTGCCGTTTAATCTGAAATACATTACAAGGTATTACAAATGAATAAGTAGATTTTTATCAGTATCTTTTAACAAAATAATGACTTTAAATAAAGATGCCTGAAACTATTACAGAAGCTAATGTGAACAGAGTGCCCAATTCTTTCAGGGCACTTTTGCACTAACTGATTATCCATTAGCATAAATAAACTAACACAATTCTGAATTCAATTCTAGATTCTCCCCTAATATTTGCTCTAGCCAGAATAATTTCATAGCTTATTCCACACTGACCTTGAAAATGAAGTTAATCTAAATTTCAGTGCCCTCATGAAAGAAAGTCTTTAAGCTGCTGTAAAATGTTCGAAGACTATTTTAAAAAACATGTTTTAAAATGAAGAGGTCCTCTTATCTGCAAGATCCTTTAACTTTTTCCATGGAATTATTAATTAAATAGAAACATATTTACTGCTTAGTTTGAAATACACCATTATTAATATTTTTTGGTGGTGGCATTCCAAAACCTATATAATATTGCATGAAAGATTCATAGTGCAAAATTGAAGTTCACCAATAAATTCTATCTCCAGCTCTACACCTCACTGACTTCTGTGTTGTACCAAATAGGCTTGGAGATAGCTTTCTCATGTTCAAAGCAGAATTTCATTGGTCCTATTTCATATCTAAAATGCAGAGCTAGTTCACAGCTATGCTCAGGGTGCTGATGAGTGCCGGGGAATGAAATGGGTATTGCAGGTTCCTCTGAGAATATTAAGTCATTGTACAGACATATAATGATTTTGGAAATAAAATTCTGATGCCAGAAATGTCAGGAACTAACTTTTACTCAAAATACTTTCATTTTTACCACTTTTTTTTTTGCACCATATTAGACTGAAACAGGTAAGAACCATGTGGAAGTCAACAAAAATAACTGTGGGGAAGAATGGATGAAAAAGCAAAGAACAAAGTGTAGCAAGCATGCTCGAAATGTGAAAAAAAAAATTAAGTTTAAGTGCTTGGAATGGAATCAGCTGCCTCAGATAAATCTCATCCTTTAACACACATTAATCATCTAAGGAAAAAACCATGGGTGAATTTACACATCTCAGGTCTGCTAATCCAAAAGCTTGTTGCCCCCATCACACTAAACTCTTGATCCTGCTCCTTGGCTCCTATTCAGGCTCTTATTTTCCTCTTTCTGTTGCTGGCCATGATCTTACCTTTTGTCCCCCTACAGCTGTTCCTCTGACCACTATTTTTTTGTTTTGTTGTATAAAGCAGGTCAGAAGAAGAAACAGATCTAGGTGAGGGTGGCAGGGGAGAGGAAGAGAGACTAAACCAGGGGCTGAGGGAAAGTTTTCAGGTGACACTGAACCATTAAATGGACTGCCACCATTCTAGCTTGCAAGAAATGTTTTCAACTTTTTCAACTCCACCTTGACAACATATTTTATAAAAGCAATATCTAATACATGCAAAATACTATGTCCAGTATACCTGGCTCACTAGCTCTGGTATTCCTAGAGCCCTGTCGATTTCTTCTAAACCATCAAAATTCCTTAATGCCATGTAAAGCTGATCCAGGAGAGCACCCTCATCACTTGGTGACTCTGATGAAGGATGATTACACAAGAGATCATCTGGTGAGCTGCCAAATGGTTGCCTGTGAAAACATGAACAGAGGGTTGGTAAACAGCTGCTCGAAAACATGGAATAATATCAGAGGATTAGTACTCAAACTGAACTAACAAGTAGAGACAGAAATTATTTTAATTGCTGCCAATTTTGGTTAGAAAGTTATTCTGGTGGAAGTTATGCTACCCAAAGAAATAACTAACTGATTAATGCCTGTCAAGACCCTACAAGGGTGGTAAACCTGACAAGCAGGAAAGCCCAATAAAGGTAGCCTAAGTGCTGACTGCATATTACAGGGTCAACAGAGGAACTGAGAAGTCAGTATAGAATACAGTCACTGAAGACAAAAGGATAAATAATTTCTGAAAGTTTTAAAATTAGTTGTAACTATTTTTAAAACTAGTTCTAACTTTGAATGTCTCATGTCAGATCAAGTATATTACCACAAGTAGTACTCATTTCCATAGACTCTCCCCTTAGCTGGTTTTCTGACAGGCTAAACAAGCAAAAGAGGTCACAGATGGGTCCATGGATTGTCTGAGCTCTCAAAAACTGAACATCTGGAAGAGCTGGGCAGAAGCTGAGGGAGCAGGGAGAAAAGGACATTCCCCTTTTTGCTTGCAGCAAAACACTGCATCAGCTTATCCCAAATGCACACTTGGGTATCAGTTTATACACTTGGTTATGTGCCCTGGAAAGCCATCAGCAAGAACTTGGGTACTGTCAGGCAGCATGTGATGACTCTATAAATCCTGCTTACCTCACCCCTGAATTTGTATGCGAAGCACACTTGCAGTTACAAAGGCAGAATAAAGATTTGTTATAAACCCAAAGGACAAAACTTCCTGAGAAACAAACTAAATCTAAAATGACACCTTATCTGCAGCCATATGACAGGTTTTTGTTCTGCAGTTCACACACCTGCCCTGCTTCACGCACGCTACCACAGAACTGCAACAGAAAATAAAAAGAGCAGAGCATTCTGCAGGCAAGGGCAGCTACAATATGCACATCCCACAAGAATCCCATCCCAGATAATTACTCAGAGACAACAAAAGCTGTCACCCATGGAGGGAAGAAAAGCACTGTATGTGAACCCTTTTTACATGTCTGTTTAGAAAAAACAAAGAAACATGTTTGTGTATTTAGTTTCCATAATGAGATATATGGTTGCCATGGAAGTCTAATCTCTATGTCGAAGCTGAGCAGGAGAGCTGCATCGTCAGGCTGCACACTGAATGAACTCAGTGTGGCAGGCAGGAAAACTAATAAAAATATATTCTTTTTAATTGGATCCCAGACAGTAAAAAAAAAAATAGGAAGGATGTATGACACACCTTTAAAACATTGCAAAGTATTAATCAAACTCATGCATAGAGAAATTTTTCTAACTCTCATAGATGAAATTATAAATCAGCAAAAAGGAAAGAGGAAAAAAATTCCTTTGATTACAATTGCTTATAAACTCTAAAGATAACTTCTAAGAAGGGTTCTATTATATGGAAAAACAGTTGATGAGGCTAGCAAAAAACCCTCTCCGATATTGCAAATGAGTGTGAACACACACGATAAAGAAAACTAAAACATTTGTCAAATCCTCTATACTAAAAATGACAACTGCTTACAATTTCTCCATTTCTTTTATATACCCCAATGAAAATTTTAATTTTTAATTTAAGAATTATTTTTACTCATTTAATACATGGCAACCATCAGATTATAAAAATAGCCATCTTGGGGATTAGTAAAGCAAGAAATGGCAGCTTGAACTGATTAATCGTCTCTGGTTGGGGTGTAAATGATCAAAATATTGGTACTTTCAGATGCAATGCAATGGCAATTTTTTTCACCATCTTCAGATATAAGGAAATTACTATATGGAAATAAGGAAATTATTCAGCTGTAAGGAAATTGTGGCAAAGGTAAAAAAATGGAAGAATTAACTGCCTGGCTTGCTGACCAGACATGAGCCTGTGTTTTCTTTTAAGGTGTAGTTTTTGAAGTGAATAATTCAGTTATACAAACACTGCATTTTGCATATGCTGACTGAGGGAAACACCAGGAAACATCTTGAAAAGCATGGAATATAACAAAGAAAATGCCACATATATTTATGGCTAATACTTTCAGGCATCCTAATGAAAATTAAGAGAATGTAGTCAGAAGATAAACTTTTTTCAAACATACTTTTTTTCCAAATGTATCCACCTAATTTTCTTTTCAGTGATCCCTCAATTTACTACTTACACAATTGAAAATATTTCAACGTTTTGCACTTGCTTGTCCATTTTGCCTTCCTTAGACATTCCACATATACACAGTCTCTCTAAAATAAGCTGCAGACCTTTTGGAGAAGACATGGCTCTTTTTTAAGAAGTGTAAGCTGCTTATAACAGTTGTGCCATCACTTAAAACTCTTGATGATGAATGAAGCTATGAATACATTACATATGAATTAATGAGTTGTGACCAAACTGCAGTTCTGACTACCTGAGGAGGAGTTAACTTCAGGAAGAGGCAGCCTTCCTTTCACTTCATCTTTCCTTCCTCCTCTTTTACAGAATTTAGGTCAATTAAAAGAACCCAAACAAAACATAATTAACCATGTCCTACATCACTTAAAATGCTACCCTGCTGCAGGAAGGGACAGATATTATGACTACACAGTCATGGCTAGTACTACTGGCACTCTTCCACATTTAGTGTTAAGTGTAATTGTTAATAACAAGAACAGCAAAATCAGACAGAATCATGTCCGCATTAATGCTCCAGAGGTGAAAAATGGTGCAACTATAACTCAAGTGCTGGCAGCATTCACCGTGATACAGAACTTTCAATTCATTCAGCACATTACATGGTAAAGAGAGCATTTATAAATATTATTGGAACACACATACATCTTGTGAGCACAACATAATACAACGATTAAATTGATGTACATTTGGTGGATGTTCTATGCAGAACTTTCTTTCCATGAGAGGTGTAAATTAAAGGCCTGCAAAATCTCTCTGTGTTCTGATGTGACACCAAGACTCACCTGTTCTGATTACCAAAAGTTGCCTGTTCTATAGGCAAGATGCTGTCTGGCCACGGTGCAGTCTGATTTGGAGGCGCCTGCTGTTGGCTATACTGAGGTCCTCCCATGTTCATTTCCAATTCAGATGGCCCTAATCAAGAACAAAACAACCATGTAACTTTTCTGAAGAGAAGCTACTTGCATGTTAGTTCTTAAAATTGAGTTACCTATATTATGGTAAAAGCAAACTAAAGCATCAAGACTTCAGAAATATTACACTTACAAGCAATATTATTCCTTTGTTAAAATTTGCTTTTAAATTTTGAGAAAGTACGAGTATTCTGAAAGTGGTTCAAAACTATAAAATAGCAGACACAACACCATAGATGCAAAAATGAATAACACAAGCATAAGAAAAAGACTCTACATAGAGTCAGTATTATAATGCACTTGCTTTAAAAGTGACCGTGAACAATTATCTTGCCACAGCGTTTGGTCTAAAAAAACTCCACAGTCTTTAGTGAACCAAAGCAACTTTGTGTCCTCTTTCTCTGGCCACACAACTGTGGAGCTACAGAGTAGCAGGAACTGTCCATCTCAAAACATGTTCAAATTCAGCATTTTAGACACCTTCTTTCCCAGATCCACAGGAAAATTTCACTGTTAAGTATGGCTCTTATCAAATCTCTAAATGAATGGAGGATTTCTTACTTTCCTTTTTTTCTCTCCTGCTTCATCTTTAACAATCCAGCGTTCGCCAAATTGAACAGCTCCAGGTGTGACTTACCCATATTCATGACCTGAGATGGAAGCATCTGCCTTGGGCCAGGCTGGCTGCTGGGTCTCAGGGGGATGCTGCCCGTGGGGTTGCGGATCATGCCTGCTTGCACGGGCCGGTTCATGGCGCCGGCCGTGGGCGCGCAGCTCACCCTCACGGCGGGGGCCTGGCTGCCCCAGTCTCCGGAGGCCATGGCAGGCCGAGGGGCATTGCCACCAATCATTCCTGTGCAAAAGCCAGATACACTCAGGCACCAGCACATGATCACAACAGCCTTAGCACCACTGCTGCCTGAGGAGCTGCATTCTCAGCAATACCAATGCAGTAGTTTCACTCAAAGCACTCTGTACCACCACAGCTGCCCATCCAGATGTGCAAAGCTGCAGAATGATGCCTTACACTGCTTACTTGAGGAACTGGAGACTGTGATACATCTTACAAGAGGAAGACTCTTTTATCATTTCCGAAATGCCGCTCAGGGTAAGCGTTCCCACATGTGGTCTGCGACAGGTGCTGAGGGTGTGTGGATGGCCTGAACTTCCTTCCTCAGGAAATGAATCACGTTTGCTGATGGGTGTCAGTGCTTTACTTTCCAAGCGCTAAGTGACAATGGGGACTTGAGTAACAACGTGCTAACACTAAACACACAAATTAGAAGGATTGAGTATCAATTTGTGTTCTGCAAACATCTTTTGGCGACTTCTTTCACTTGGAGCCCAGAGCTTTCAGAGCTTCAAGGCTCACCCAGATAATCTCAAACGAATGTACGGTGCAGGGAAATTACTCACAGGAACTTTCCGATAGATGCTGAAGCCCATTACCGTTATTATAGGGGAAGTCCTCCCACATCTACTGTAAACAACTGATACGTTTTATTTACACTTGGAATATACAGAATACTACACTGACAGTAGCCAAAAAGCCTCAAGCAAAACCAAACACAAAAATCCCCAAGGCCCAAAGATGGCAGTCACAGTTATACATTTCAATTTTATACCAGTCAAGAGACTAGATAAAACACTGATTTCAGGTTGGACTAGTGGTTCAGATTTGTTTTTTCAGTTGCATTATGCAAAATCCCTAAAAGAATACTAAAAGCCACACAAACAATTCTTACTAATCGGTTCAAATATTTGGTGACATATAACCAGAGAAAAACCCTCTGAAGAGGGTCTTTGTTTCAGCTGCTGAACAAAAGTTGCTTTAGTGTTACATCCTCAGGTTCAGCCCATTTGTGTACATATTCTATCAGATGAAAGATGTGCTGTGCTAGAGCAAGGCAGGGACACAATAATATTCTCTAACTTGTATACATAAGATGAATAAAATCCTCTAACATGTATACAGAACATGAAAGTAAGAGGACACTTGAAAGAATGCAAGTTGATTTCTAAACTGCATAAATAAAATATTTCAGCCTTTGGCTGCATGTCTCTTTTAATACTGATGCCAATGAAATACACAAATTTGACACCAAATAGCCAGCTGAGAGGATTTACAATGCCCATTTATTTACTCAGAGCTCTTACAGTGGTTGATGCACACTTGCACAATCTCAGATTATGCACTAGTTGAAATAAATCCATCAGCCAGACTTTTCTTGTCAAACAGGCTATATGTTTGTTCATTATTAGGTGACCATGTTGTTAACTGCAACATCTGATGGCTCTCAAAAAGGAGCTAAGCCTACTAAGTAAAGAATAATTGAGGGCAAAGCCAACATCATAAGGGCAACAGTATTGCCCATGATTTTGTTTTGAAAGACTCATCTCTATAGGTAGGTAAAAGGCAGTGCATAAAAGGGAGGAATACAAATATGCAGACAGAGAAATTCAAAATAATTATGCCAATACATAACATGCCACAAAACAGACTTCATGGAGAGTAATAATCTGCACTGGTATTAACCCAAATGTTAAGCTGCACATGCTATAGCCTGTTACTCAAGTATATTTGAAAAAAAAAAAAAGGAAAATCATCTTACCTGCGCTGCTGTTGCCCAAAGTTCCTTGACTTCCTATCATCCCTTCATTCCTGCCCATCAGTCCCGGCTGAGGTATCACTGAGTAGGGGCTACTCGTTCTTATGGGTGGGAAAGATCCTGCACCTGTTGGGTTCTGCAGTGTTATGTCAAGTGGTAAATTCTGGTTTGGTAACAACCTGCCCAGTTGCCCTGCTCGTGGGTTATTAAAAGCTAGACAGGAGGAGCAAAGAAAAAAAAAGCAAAGTTAAAAGAATGGAAACTTCACTAAGTTTAAAAAAAAAAAAAAGAACCTAGACACAATTAAAGCTCTTGGGCTCAGCTATTTAATGTTGCATAATTTACTCACTCCCTATCTGTCTGAGAAACATCCCTTCTTGACATTTAAATATAAATTTCAAAATGGAACATTCTGACACTAAACACAAACCAGATATGATGTATATTTAAAAAAACTTTAAATTATGCTAGTAAACTGACAGAAGAGCCACTACAGCAAAATATACCACTATGTGATGTGCATACTACTGTCAATCTTATACCTAGTAGGACTGTAATCGCATGCAGATGCCATCCTGAGGCAGATTGTTGGGAATTATCTCAGTTTGGAGAGGTTTCCAGCACAAGCTATGCCCCTGAAGAAGCTTTCAAAATTAAGGACAGACTGACTCTATACTGGATCCCACAGCCCCATTTTAACATGTCCCTCTTAATTTTTTGGGCTTTGCATTTTTGTCATTAATAAAAATAAATACTTCTGTGATTCAGCAACAACTATAAACCAGCCCAGAATCAGAGCTGTGCCACCATAATATTCTGGTAAAAAAGAACCATCCTTGATGGTTACTGCCACCTTAATGTAACTACTTTCTTCTGGGTTGTGCCTTTAAAATCAGCCTCTGCAAATAAAACACCAGACTGCCTCAGCAAAGTCAGTTTCAGACTGTGACTGGCAAGCATCTGGCTCAGCTGGTCTTTGGGCAATGTTCCAATGCATGAAAGCATCCTCTGTGTGCTCAACTAGTTCTCAAACATGAATCAAACACTGACCTTGTAGCTTTGATTCCACTTCCAATCATACCCATGAAATACATGCAAGTAAATTAAACATTTTTGTGAAAATATTATTTGCAATACTTTCTGATAGCTGCCCCTAGAAGAGGCACTTCTGCATTTTTGAGTTCATCACATTACTGAGAAGTTAAATTAATACTTTCCTATTTTAGACCAAAGTAGTACTACTTTTGAATCTGAAAACTTAGATGAGGTTTAGCAAGTTTATTAAAATGCAGAGAAATATCTCACAACAGAGGTCTCTGGCTTTTATTTTGTAAAACCAGACTACAGGAACTCATTGTATTTTTGTTTTAATGTAAGTTCTCTGCCAGGTGTATTTGCCTATATGTGTGTACAGAAAATATATCACATTACATACACCTAACTTCTAACCATGAGATTTAAGTTTTGTCTTGTCTGCCTGTTCAACTAAGCAAACAAAACTTACTTATGAAGCAAAAATTACTTTTTCAAGATTAGGGGTATCACAAAGTCTAAGGACTGAAGCAAAATTAAACTTCAGTGACAGTTTCAGAACAGTTTGCTCCAGAAGTCTGACACATCACATAGATAAATAAGTTATTTTATGTGCAGCTTTGCCAGCCTCAACTAATATTACAAAAAGGAATTCTGGAAATGCGGCACAAAATAACAACACAGCTGATGAGCTGTGCTGGTGCTTAGATCACATCACCTCCTGCTTATTCTACTCTTTGTCAGAATGGGACTAAAGGAGGCTCCCTATCCCCCATATAACAGACTAGCAATTTGGTAGATCTAGCAGCCTTTCTATTTTTCAACAGGCAAAACTATTTGTCTGTTGAAAATAAATGCAATTCATTAAAACCTGTAAAATTAAAGTTGGTTATTTCATCAGAAAAAAACAACCATAAAAAACCCCAAATCACTTTTGGAATTGTATACGATTTGACATTCATTCTACATTGGTTTTTTGTGAGCAATATGAGAGACCCCTAATTTTTTCTGTGGACCTGTTTTCTGTGTGCCCTTCTACTGAACATAAGGCACAAGTTCCTAGGGGAATCAGGCACAGACACAAGCATAAGCTGGGGGAAAATATTTTAGGTTTTTAATTTAAATGGGAAACAGGATGCTGCTTTTACAGAACTGCTGCTAACCATGAAACCACTCTCCTTTACAGTCATACCATTACTGTACTGCCAGTAGCTTTAAAAGCAGATTTAAAGCTAGGCTACCCCTAGAAAGCCAAAAGGCTGGAAGGACAAACAGACCTTACTTCAGGAAGAATATGCTGAAGACCTCACATGCACAGAGACTGCCTTCTGAACTTTTGAGGTGCTACTGTTAGTACCTCTATACTCACAAAACCAAGTACATTAAATCCAAGCATCTTTCTCTGAGCAACATAGATAAGGAAGTGATAACTTAAGATATCTGAAGTGGCCTTAATACAAATTTGCACACCAATATTCATGGATAGAATATTAGTATTTATCTAAAAATTTTTAAGTAATTTGAGCGAATTTGAAAGTGGCTCAGTGTTAGTTTTTTATTATCAGAATGACTACAAATATTATCTAAACCCTATATTTTATAAGAAAAAAACCCAGAGCACATCTAATGAAGTAAACAGATGCGGCCATCCCAGCCAACAGGAGCCAAAAATGAAGCAGTGGTTTTTTATGCTATTGCATTCAACATTAGTACTTGATAACACTCTTGTCTTGCTTGCTTTCCAGTATATAATGATGGCAAACCAACGTTTCAATGCTGATTTGTAAGCTGATTAATAAGGTTAAGGAAAGCCGTCAGCTGGAAGCGACTCAACTAAAAGCCACAATCTCAAATTGAAGTTGGGCATTCTTAATCTTCTGTCCTTCTATTAATCTTGTGGTTTTAGAAGAAGACTCTCCTTCATGCTTACAAAAGCTGCCAGGAAGGAACGGCCTGCATCGCAAGAAGATGCACGCGCTCTCTGTGCCAAAGCCCTCCCAACAGCAGTGTCACCTGTCACCCCAGGAGGGGATGTTTGATGTGAGGGCACCCCAGAAAACGTCCCTGGGGACACACACTTCCAGGCTGTGTGAGCTAGACACGGCTCCCGTGTGCCTGGAGCGGGGAGGACTGCAGATGGCGCTCTGTCACCACACAACACCGCCCAGGACCGGGAGCTGCCCAGTTCCTCCCTGGCTGACCCTGACCGGGGCACCACGACCCCACACCGGGGGTTCCCCAGCCGTGTGTACATGTGTGGGGTGCACTCACTGCTCTGTGAAATCCTCATTGCTGGTTTCTGGGTGGCCACTGCCGCGCCGGGGCTGCTGTCACTGGTGAGCTGCATGAGGTCATTGATGATGGCTTGCTTGTCCACCGAGCCCGCTGGCACGCCTGGGCGGCTATCTGGGAAAAGCTGTGGTAACTGGCTGTTCTGCAGGTCATCCAGAATCTCTTCCAGGTTATCCAGCTCGCTGCCTGGCTGCAAGAAACAACACACAAACCCCAGTACAGGTTGCTGCTCGCTTGCTGTTGGCCAAGCCAGGCAGCCCCCAGTGTCCCGCCCGAGTGGCCTCTGATGTGTCTGGAAACAGGCCTGATGTGGAGGATGCTCACAAACCTGTTGGAAGGGGACTGGGAAGGCTTCCCAGGGCTTTTCCCTTGCTTTTGGGGAGCCCAGAGTGGCACTGACACCCTTCAGAAGTCCAGCTGGGGACTTATGATTCCATTGATTCCATACCTTGGGCAGCAGGGGGATTCCTGCCTGTGCGCTCTGTGATCAGTGCTGACAGCAGGGATAACAGGAGAGCCAGGAGTGCTGAAGATGGGGGTTTATGTAGGCATAACTGCTATTTCTTTCAACACAGTTGTATTTCTAGTCTCTTTGTGACTTGATTAAAAGCATACAATCAGAAAGTTACTTTATGGCTATACCAATTCCCCATATGCCTTTTCTTTGTTATATTCCAAACCTGAACACTGAATAAATCTACAGAGGTTAACTGGCAAAATATATACATAGGATTGGGAATTTATTATACTCCCAACTTCCCATATCATTGAAAATAACTTCTCTAGAGTATGACAAGAGAAATCTACATCTACATATGAATTTACATTTAAATTCAGTAGAAAATTAATGAAATAAAGATGGGAGAAAAATTAAGTTCACCTTACACTAACATAATTACTTACTTGCTATTTTTCTTATATGTATTGATTTTCACTGATACTCTCTTTTGTCAGCTTCTCTGTCTAAAACCTCTTAGAATTAAAATAATTTTCTGACTGAAATGTGGTAATCATTGCAACTATATTCTCCAATCCTAAACTCTTGATAAGGGTAAGACTTGGATAATAATTAAGAACAGGGTGTCCAGTTTCAGTTTACTACCATCTTGAGCAGTAAATATATCATAGCAGTATTTATAACAAATATCTACTCAAAATCAGTGTCTTCATTAGGAAATGTGCAATGACGGAGTAGAGGCAGAGTGAGCAGCCACCCATGAAGGATGGGGAACTGAGAAATAACACCACAAACATACAGAACTGAAATACAATTCTTCCTTGTTTTTTTTTTTTTTGTCCTTCCCCACATCATGAACTTCTTACTGAGAGCAAACTTAGGCCAAAGATCACAGGATACTGTAGAAATACCTGAGATGGCTTTAAATACCTACTGAGGTTCTCCCAGGCTAGCTAGGAAGCACTGCACATTAGTCTGTACAGAACCCCTGCCACCACATCTAGCCTGCTCCTGGGAAGTCCAGCTATTTATTCAAAGGTAGCTAAAATGCCCCAAGGTTACACTGCTAAGTGCTTTTTTTGGGTGACTGACTGCAAATAATCATGGTGCTATTTTTTATTATTTCTACATCATGTCCTAGTCATATAAATTGTAGTATACAGTGCAAAAGAGGAGGGAATTCACTCCATCAAAAGGCAGGATGTGGGTGATCTAGAGACTGGTGTTATTGGCAAAATGGTAGGAAATCAGAGAATCAGAGGACTGGAAGAAATTTAAAGCCTCCAGGCAAAATCAGTGTATGCCATTCCCTGTGGAAGTTCATACAGTTGCTTGTTAAAGACATCCAGAGACAGAAAATCCACAGCTTCCCTGGAGAATTGGTTTCAGCACTCTGCCATCCTTGCTACTCTTGTATTTCTTTTATCAGTCTCAATGCAAAATCTCTCACACAGATATTTAGACCATTTTTTCCAATCCTGTTTTGAATCTGGAGAACATACTGTGCTACCCTTTCTTTTTCTAACTTTTTCTGTATTTGAAAACATGTGCCCTTTTTGTGTTTTAAGCTGAAATGAACAAACAATCTCAACTTGTGAATTTTCTTCAGCAAATAACCTGTTTTCTAGGCCTCTCATTACTCTCGTTGCTCTTGTGGATTGCTTTCACTTGATCCACACTTTTGCTGAAGCCGTGTCCAAGACAGGACTTAAAATGAAGCCTTATAGCTGCTGAGTAAAGCAGAAAATTTCCTCTACACATAGTATGTTTTGATGGCATTTTCCAGAAAAGCATGTGATTCTTTTAATTACATGACATTTACTGTCTCTCACTCTTCTTGTCATCACTATGATCCCTAGAACAGCTCTGAAAAACTCCTATTTAGTCACTTCTCCCCTCATATTAAAAAAAAAAAAAACAAACCTGAGACACTATTCTTAACTAATGATAATAAATAGCATTTATTCACCCTGAATCTTCTAATATTTTGTATCTGTATCTCTTCATTGCAGCTGAATCTGAACTGTGTCCTCCAGGGTGTTTGCAGACACATTCAAGTGTCACACTCAGCTTTACCAAGCTCCATTGTCACATCAGGTCATTTAGGTTAACTAAAACACTGAGCAGCTCTAGATGCTGCACGAGTCCTGCAGCATCTCCATTTTGACAGTGAATCTTTCAATAACCACTGTGTGTGGAGGGATTTCCAAACAGCTTCCTCACCACTCACAGCAGTTTCATCTTGACCATGTACCTCTACCCTGCCATAAGGAAACGGGCCTTACTCAAATCTAAACACCTTGGCACACAATTTCTATTATTCCAACAATTCTGCTACTTTCTTGCTGAAGGAAAACAGGTTGGCTGGTACAAGATTACCTGTTCCTGACAAATCCCTTTGATGAGGATCCCACTGCTTTCCAGGCAATTACAAGCAGCTGGGTGGATCCAGCACATCAGTAGAAAAGGCTGAGCCAGGAGGAATCCGAAGTGATTATATAAAACCTAAATCACTGCAGGGACAGGTGATAAGCAGATTCAAAAAGGTGCTCCAAGAGACAGCCATGAGTGATGTTTATAGGAGCTGCATTTGAGCGATGGCAGATCTGCTACAAGAAGACCGCAAAAGCCAGGAGAAGAGACTGATACAGAGCACCATAAATTATAGAAGGATGATTCAGTACTCTTTGGGGGAATTAAGACATATGGCCTTCATTACATGGATCTGAGACAACAGCAAAGGGAAGTTTTATACGTTGCAGGGGGTTTTTTTTGGTTGGTTTCATGTGGGATTTTGTGTCATCTTTTCTTTTAGCATTCTGGCTACTGCAATTCTTTGTTCAAACACTAGATATATATATAAAAAAACAACCTCAAAACCAAACCTAAAAAAACACCAATGAAGAACATATTGATCCAAATGTGTCAGAAGACGGCACTCCCTAAGATGTTTCTAATTCCTCTCAGAAGTGGCAAAGAAAGGGCAAATACAACAGATGTATTACAACAACCCAAATACATACTTCTCCCTTTTTGCTGAATAATCAATATTAAATACTTAAACTTTATTTTTTATAAGGGTTCTCCACTGCTACAAAAATTCCAAGAGATTTGGAATTAACACCAATTTATGATGTTATCCTAAGTCTTTCCAGACTCATCCTCAAATGGCACCATATGTGCAGAAACTAGCATTAAAATATTTACTTGGCTAGATTCAAGGGATTTTTCTTTTAGTTATAGTCTATATTTATTTTGTTAATGGCCTAAATTGAATTATATGTAAATAGAAGGCACACCCTAAGCTCCCAGTGAAACAATTATTTGTCAGGAATTAAAAAAAAACAAAACCACCTGATAAAGTGCTAAGCATCACAAGGAAGTTCTTGTGTGGGTATTTTCACTATGTCTAAGTAATGCAATTATGACAATCTCTGTAGAAGGTGAGCACAAAGTGCCAGAAAGTGTAAGACAAATAATTCTCAGGGATATTTTTGCATTTGAAAAAATACTTATTTTTTACTGTCATATAGAGAAACACAGATTAAACTTAAGAGCTTACAGAAGTTGTACTGAAAGGCAGCTGCACCTCAACATGAAGTTTGTTTTACAGAAGTTGCTGTTTCAAAGCCCAGCTTCCATGGATTGTGAAGGACTGGATAAGATACTCAAGCCTCCGGAAATCTGCTTCCTGCCATGGGCATTGCCCACGGCTTGCACTGTGACCCTCTATTCCAAGGACTTACAACAGGATGTTTTTTGGTGGGGACACAACTTGAAGTTACATCTGATTTGCATAAATTTGAAGTTTAGCTCATCTTCTACCTCAGAAGTATGGGCAAAGCATTTGACCATAAGAGGCAAATGAAACCAAATCCCTACTCCAAACTGGCAATAAATCAAAGGATTATAAAAAGAAGGGAAAAGGAAATTAGAAGTGGAACCAATACAGTATTTTTCTCCCTGGTAACTGCAATAAACATAAAATTGGCTAGAAATCCTATTAAATTATCAAGCTATTCTATGACTAACATTTGAAAGCAGAACTCTAATTGAAAGACATTCAGAAAATGGAATCCCCATTCTAAGGTTTTGATAGAATTTCAAGAAGAAACAAATGTTCCTCATGAACTTAATGGATCCTGGACTATTAAACCAGAAATAGGTTTTTTAAAGATGAGTGGCATGTGTAGAGAAAATATGCTGGTATTGGGAAGACACTGGTTTCCACATGAAGCATGAATACAGCATAGTTGATAAAATATGTGAGGAACACTAGAGCAGTTTCTGAGTTTTAGGACAAGAATGTACATACTTGAGATGATTTCTGGAACAGCATTTGTGCAGACTGTTGCATTGCAAAGTCCCTGTCAAACAGCCTGTCTTTATGGTCTACTGAACAAAAAAGAGGAGAGTACACTTGTGGAGATAAGGATTTCATTCCACGCTCCCCCAGGTGATTTCTCAGAGAACAAGCTGCTTTAGCAAGGCCATATCTAACATTGTTCATGATGTTTTTCTGATGTTCCCCTGTACTTTCACTCTCCTTCCCCTCCAAGCTGTCAGGCAGTCCTTGCCACATCTGACCATCTCCAGACCACTACAGGGGCTGCTCCTGGCAGTGGACAGTCAGGGAGAGCAGGAGAAGGCAGGTTTACTGCTGAGGGACGCTCTCTTCCCTTTCCAACAGTGCTGAGCCATATGAGAACTTGTGCTCGACAGCAACAGCCCTACCACGGTTGGTGCTGGAGGAAAAACCCCACTGAGTGTCCCCAGCAGGTCCCTCTCTCATCCCCTCCCCTACAGCTGCTGTAACTGGAACAGCAACCAGCCTAATAAAGCCTGATAAGCATCATCCCACCAAGGAAGGGAAAAAGGTACAGCAGGGCTGGAAATATTCTCTGCCATTTGAGAAAGGCTTCCTGTCAGTCGCTGCTCTCTGCAGAAGTGTATGTTTAAACACACTACCTAGAAGACTGCTATTTTTAGTGCAGTGGTGCACTTCAAAGCATTTCCTGCTCAGAAAGTCACACCAAAAGTAAAAGGAGAAAATGCAATGGCTCTGTTGCCTCCCAACACACTGATCTCCCTTGTAGAGGCCATCCCACTGCTGCTCTGCTGCAGTTTCCAGAGAAACTGCACACTCCAGTGACTAATTACTTAAAAATACAACATTCCTCAGGGAGGAGAAGTTTTAAATAAACCTGCAAAATAGGTAACACAAGCACATGGCTAATTTTTACATATGGGAGGAAAAAGGAGGGGGAAGGATGCAGGAGGATGGAAGAATTTAGCTCAAGAATCTGTGTTCTAGTCTTGTACTAAATAGTTCCAGCTTTGATCTAAATTTAGGCAATGAGCACTTCCTGTGGGAGACCATCTTCCAAAGCTGAAGAGTTTTTATGCTAAATATTTTCAGTAATTTTATAATTGGGGTAAAGTGATTATTTGTTTAAAGTCCTGGCCTTCAGACAGTTAAACACTTAGATTATTCTGTATTTCCCACCATTTCCTCTCCTACTCCATGCTGGACTTCTGTTTCTTAGCTCCAGGTTTCACTGCATTTTAAGTGGGTTTTAAAGTTCTGTTTACAAGCAACAGGAGCAACAAAAGCCCTTCTGTCATTATCCAACAGTCTTCCATCACAGTGACTGGCTGCTCCATACCTTGGAGCTGAGGAAGCCCTCACCACTTTATCACAGCTCCTGCACTGCTTTGTGGTTTTCTGAGCAAACCCAACTCCCAGACCTTTCTGTACCTCCGGCTCTCTCTCTCCTGGGACACAAACTCTGTCTTCAAACTTTAAGAAAAGGCAATACATCCACAGCCCACACTTCAATCCCCTGAAATCCCACCCCAGCCTCAGAAACATAAAACCTAAAAATAAAAAATGAATGGACCATTCACTTTACGAAGTTCATCATTCAGGAGACCTGATTTTCAACTGCTTGAGGTTGGCAGCGCTTGTAGAGACTGAAGTCTCTTTCTTGAAAGCTGGTTTTATAGTTAGTCTCATGTTTACATTTAGGGTGAGACACAAGTTGCCTATGAAAAAGTAAAGCAGCTAGTTTAAACTGTTCACCTGTGCTACCACTTGTCAATGGGAATACCAGTAAAGAACAGCTAACCTCATCTGTTTTAGACACACATTAGGATAAGATAAGAAAAAAAAAAGTCCTGGAGTATTTTTCTGTGTTTCCATCAGTAATAAAAGGAGTTTGTAGGACTGGCTTGGACTAGACAACAAAGTTCTAGAGGGGACAGAACTTGGTCTCTGAGAACTGGTTTGTAAGCTAAACTGTTTCTTGTGTACTCCACAGAGAACATGAAAGAGGAAATTTTAATTCTTTTAGAAATTTAATTCTAGGGGAACAAACCATCTGAAGGCCATGATTTAAATCTATGAAGGAAGGGCATACAGTTTTTTGTGATTACCAAATTTTACATTCTTGTTGAGTACCTAATTTTGGAAGATTGAAGATCTCTGCTTTCAATCTAGTACTGACTTCAATGTGTAGGATCTGAACTAGGAACTGAAATCTATCAGACATGTTAAAAATACGCCATTCTTGCTAGTTTATCTATGAAATTCTTGATTTCTGTATTTTCATAGCCTAATGAACCATCAGTTCTCAAAGAGAATCTACACTCTACCTCTACAAACACTAGAAAATATAGGCTTCTATTGAAAACCAAACTAACATCCAGGCTTGAGGATAAATCAGTGCCAACTTCAGTGAGGAGAAATTAGTACAATTTGGCTTGGTTTCTCCTAAAGTGTGGGAAGGATTGAAAAACCACAATTGCTCCTACACAGTGGCAACAGTTGTCAAATTTTGTTGAAACAAAAGCAGCAAAGTAACCTTAGGAGTTGCCTGGATAACTGAAATTTTAACAATGCTGCATCTACACTGCAGTGACACATTTGGCCTCTATGTTTTGTGGTTATAACCACTGTTGAAAGAACTGTCTACTACTTACAGACTGCCAAAAGGGCAAATAAAAAAATAATAATCCAATGTTGTGTCTTAGGGCAAAGAAAATGTAATCTAACCCTCCTCAGTCTCACAACACAATATAGAAAATATAAACAAGAATGTTTTTATGCATACATAATAAAAAGATACAATGGGTTAAAAAAATAAACAAGCTCAAACCTAGTCTATGCATTAGAAAATATACAAAATTTTTAAAATTAAGGATACGGCTGTGAATGAGACGCATGAACATTTGCATTGTATATGATCTGATCATGATTTACAAACTAAGGCTTCACACACAGGGCTGCCTGGGGATTAATGACCAGCTGGGAGATTTGATAGTGTAGGACAAATCTAAGGATCATTAACTCCAGCTAGTTATAACCTTCCCAGAAAATGCTTTATACTAAAATTGATATTGTAATTACCCATTTTATAAATAATATAAACAGTAATACTGAAGTAGCAGATTGCTTTCACTGTGTCCCTTCTTCTTGCAAAGCTCTGAAAACTGGAGCACTCTGGGTGATGTGGACCTGCTGCTTTTGGAAAGTGAATTCTGCATCAAAGCCAGTGTGACATAACACTTCTTAGCATAGGTCCCAACAATACACCACTTATTATTGTGTTGGGCAGCACAGCAACAAGGCATCTTGCACAGAAAGTAAAGAAATTCTGAATGCAAAATTCAATGCAGATAACCCTGCATGAGGAGACATGATCCCTGCACTGAACAATTAATCTTTCACAGAAATTTGAGGCTGAATATAAAGAATTTTTAAGATTACAAGAAAATCCCATCAAATCCTCCAGACTGCCACATAAGTCTATTTGCTTAGATTTTAATTTGCAGGTCAAGCATAACATGAAGACCAGTAATGCAAAGTTGTTATCAGTCCTTTCAAACAACTGTTCTTGAGCATGAACCTGTTTTCCATGGCAGGAGTGTAGCTGCTAGGCTGGGCTAGGTCAAGGACCCATTTAGCAAGCACAACAGCAGCCTGTGGGAAAAGCTGTCAATTAGGCAGCACTAACCAAGAGTCACGAGTATTTTCTCTTTGCCTGACTACCATCTGGGAAAGGCACCCTGCATTGGCCATCTCCTCCCAGGCAGAGCCTGTGCTTTTATACAGTGTGACCATCACCAGCTGGGAAACTGAGTGAAGACTGGATTTCAAAAGACAGGTAACAGCCTCCTGAAGTGCCAAGATGCTACTCTTAGTGTAAGTCAGATGGCAGGAATGCAGGCCTCGAACAAGTCATTCACACATAATGCAAAAATTAGCTTACCTGTTCATTAGGCTCAAAGCTTATCTCTTCTTTTTCCGTCCTCATCGCTATTAACTTTGTGCTACCGGAAGGGTCTGTCTTACTGTCCAACCGCTCCAGTTTTGGGGGTATGTCTGGTAAACCAATATCTTTAGTATCATCTTTATCTAGCAAGTAGCGAAGTAGTGCATTATTATTCTTCTTAGGACTCGCTGGCTCCTGTTTAACAGTCACCTCTGAACCAGGAGCTGTGCTACTGGACTCCTGGTTCAGTTCTTTGCCTGTGGCCTCTGCTGTGAGCTTGGCCAAATCTACAGGAGAACTACTGTCCTGCAATAGTCTGTGCAAAATTTTATGCTTCTCCTTGAGTGAGGTTCCATGTGCTGAACCAGACCCAGGCAACCCTCCCGTGGAGTCCTTGCTAATGTCTCCCATGGTACTGGACAAAGGTGAAGGCTCCATCTGATCTGATTTGGTGGTGAGCAACTGTAAGAGCTTTGTCTGGCTTTTTCCATCGTGCAGTTTATTCTGTCCATCAGGTCTCTCGCCACTGACAACCGGTGGCATGCTGCTATCGCTGCTGTCTTTCTGCTCTCCTGAATGGCAGCTGCTCTCTGCTTGTCCAGTTGTACCTTCTGATTGCTCCCCATATATTCCAAAGCAGTCTTTAGAGTCCAGGCTTCCCATCTTGCTTAGTTGGGGAGGATTCATATTCACAGGGGAATTTTGTAAATTTCCCATTTTTAGGTCAGGTGAAGCCAACGACGATCCTAGAGAAACGCCGTGGCCCTCGCTGAGGGCCTGAAGTGCGTTCAGGGAACTGTTGGTGTAGTTATGGCTATTTCCTGTGCTGCTGCAGACTCCCACAGGTGAATGCAAACTTCCTGCAGGGGAGAACTGACTGGGTGGGATGCGAGGACTTCCTGCCACTCCAGGGCTCACGCGATGCCTTGGGGAAAGCATAGAGTTTGGCTGCCCTGGGTTCATGCCAGGGCTGCTTTGAGAGGGGCTATTCATTTTTAGTGCATAGTTACTACCCTGAGGAGTGGATGCTTGTATGCTTGACACATGGTTCATTCCCCCTGAACCACCAAACCTGCCTGCTGGCATGCCCACTTGCTCCTTTGGGCCATTTATGGCAAAATTTATATTGCTACTGATGGTCATATCCTGACCTGGGTTCCCACTGCACATGGCCTGATGGGCAGGGCTGCTGGAACTAATTGGGTTCAATATCTTCCCCATTCCTTGTCCAGTCAAATCCTGATTCATTCCACAGACATTCTGCTCTCTATGTGGCAAGAGGAAGAAAAACAGCCCGTTAGCTAAATGACAGTGGCCAACTTGCAATTACATTACGGAAAAAGAAGCAAAACCCCAAACCTCACTTTAAAATAACACAAAACCTCTACAATCAAAAATAAATCAACAATTTGACAAAAGTGATATGCAACTCTCAACATGGCTGAACATTAACAGTATGGTTTTTCAGTACCTCATTAGAAAACAATGAAAGAGAGGAAAAACAAAATTAAACCTCATTTAAATGACAGTCATTAGAAATGCTGATAGGTTACAATTTCACACTCCCTTTAATGTATCTCTCTACAATTTGGCAAGAGCTAATTTCTAGAACTGAAAGAAATCTCATCTGAAACATATGACCCAACAAATACATGTTTTACAAGACAGCTGTGGACAGCTGTTTGCAGGAGTTTTGAATTTCTCTAAGTTAGCCCCACCACAAGGCTGGAGTGGGCTATTTGCCCACCAAGTTCATAGTGAAAAGAAAGTTGAAAAAGTCACATTTTTACACTGCCAGAGTATTTCAATATTGCTTCAAAACAGCCTGTGAGCCAAGGGAACTACTGGATACTTGTTCAGAATGAGAACAGTCTGTTAGCAATCCAGTCCTGCACAGGCATTTAGGAAAAGGGGAGAAGAAAAACAACAAACCACACACACAGAAGCTGAAACTTGTATTTTAGAGATGTAAGCCTCAAGACAGAAGAAAGAGAAGAGAGAGACACACATACACAGAGAAAAAGCTCTTGTGAGATCACCTGAAGGTCACTTTTCTTTTCCTCAGTAGATTTTAATTAGTTTATGGGAGGATGTAATACACTTTTTACTGTGTGCTAAAACTTAAATTAGGAAAATCAGATATATTCCCAAATGCTAAAAGCACAAAAGAGACAGAGCCAAGTAGGTTAGGAGGGAAAAAAATGAGATTCTGACAAAAAAAATCAAATCAACTCCAGACTTCCAAAACCAAATATAAATGGAACATTCCTAATATGCATTCTCCATGAGACAAAAACCTTTCCTATTTGCACAGTATAAGTAAGTGCAGATAAACCTTCAGTTTTGCTAAAGTGTGAGTAGCAAAATAATTGAAAAATACAGAGCAGTGAATCTTCTTATTCTCTATTGGTTACCTTAGGTATAAAGGCAAAAGTGAAAAACATTAACTATAAAAAAGAGGTATTTTTAATACCTTATTACAAATACAGTAGTACCAGCACTCTGCTTTAAAAAGTGCAAGAAAATTTATGAGTACCATTTAAAAATTATCAGTGCTTGCTTTTTAAAATTTAAGATTTGGCACTTAATAAAATACTAGGTCTATTCAGCAATCCAAAGAAAACAAATTGCAGACAGCTTTTAGCCAGATCAATCTACAAGTTCTATAAAATGGTTTCAGTTATAAGTATGTTTAGCACTGTTTTCTTCCTCTCAAGAAAAATGATACGGAGGACTGGGAATAAAGCCTGAAACAAAATCTGGTACAAATACATCAGGACGTGCAATGACTTAATAAAAATTGTATGTTAAAGTTCTGATGTCAGTGATTGCTCAATACTGACTTTAGGATATTATTGTCTCTACTTTTTGAAAAAAAAACCAAACTAACAGTAGTGACACTGCTTAGAATTGGACATATGAGAGCCGCTAAGCCAAGCACCAGAAAAGACAAGGCACAAAAAGAATCAAAGAATTAAGCAACACTTTGTCTAAAGTGTCTAAAGTCTAATACTCATAACATGTTTTTTAAAGAAGAACCAGAACCAATAACAGAATATGAACTACAAGAATTCTAAGCTTTCTAGATTTAATCACTATTGAAAAGTTTCTTGTATCTACTATGCAAAGTACAGGAAATTAAAATACTGAAAAGAAGAACATGGCATTGAAAATCCAGCATGCCATTTTCAAATTCTGAAACAATCTTACAGTCTTTTCCTGCTGCAAGCATTGATTTCAAAATCTTACTTGGTTTCCATGATATCAGTTCTGGGTCAACAGAAATCTATCAGCCTTAAACAATCTATTTGCTTTGGCAACCTTGTGCTTTGCATGACTCTCAGCAGAGTGTGGACGCAAGGAAGTATAGGTGGCCTTTGAGTCACAGTAAAATGTATTGTGTTGGGGAATATAAGTGGCCTTGCCAGTTCTAGTTATTCTAAATGAGCCACAGCTGTGAAGTCCTTAGTTGGGCAGTAGCTGTGGCTCGTGAAGGTTACTAGGATAAAAGTGGGTGGGTTGAGAGCCCTGATGAAGCCACAAGGAACTGCACTGCTGAGAAGAGCAGCATGGTAGAAAACCACTCAGAAGGTATGGACTTTAGAAATATAATAACAACAGTATGCTTACAACAAGGAAGTGGCCAGGCTTACCTGTGAAGCATATGCAAGGAGATGACAAGCTGAGGTTCACTGGTTGTCTGAGAGCGGATGAGCTTGCTCTTGGTTTGGGCAGAGACGATGGTGCCGTCTGACAGGGAAAAGCGATAAACGGGGCTGAAGGCCAGCCCCTGCCTCAGCACTGCAGGCAAGCACAACAACAACTCAGGTAAGCTAATGGCACACTGCTCAGCTGCTCAACATCTAACATGCTCAGCACTGATACCCAGATGTGGTGCTAATTAAGCAAAATAAATAAAAATAACATTTTGAAAATAAATAGATGTGTACAAAAATAAAGGATCCCGCATGCTGTAGGGCGATCAAATGAAAATCTGCAAGGAGTGACAGCAACAACAGGAAGATACTATGAAACAGAATGTATTCCAGGAGCAGACAGGAAGCTCTTGATGTCCATTTCACTTTTCATCAAATATGTGTCTAATTCCTTTTGTTCCTCAAACACTTTTTCACTGTACCATTACACCATGATGATTTGATACAAATGTCCTTAGTTTTTAGATCATCTGTTTCCATTAGCCTGTATATTCTCCTCCAAGCCTGACTAAATTGTCTTGCAATAGTTACTATCACTACTTCTTTAATTTAAAAAATGCATAAACTCTTACCTAAGAACAATTAGAAATGAGAACTGGAAAGAGAAATTATTACTTTTAAAAGAACAAATACAAAATATATATGGCTAAAAAATTAGAAATAAAATTACCTAAATCAAAACTGGGGCTCTGCTACCCTTTCTCAGTGTTGATTGCATTTCAGGTTTGGGGTTTATTTCACTGTACACATTCTGCAGCCCTTTAAGTTTTTAATGTAAATCTGGACTTAAACAAATTCAGTTTTTTAACTTCCATACACCTCTGTGACACTTCTTTAATGAAATATTAAAATATGTTATGGAAAAGCACATCTCCCAAACATTTATTCTACTGTTCACTCTCTGCCATCAATGAAACAAGTGTGGTCCCTTAAAATTTCTAGTCCAAAAGCAATCACATTAGGATTGCAGACATGAGAGAAGTAAAATACTCCAAAAATTTTCATATACTCATTTAGGGAAAAAATAGGAACGAAGCACTACAAATACATTTAGTTTCTTATTTTTTCATACATCTGTATTTTCTGTGGGGTTCTGTCTCTCTCTTTTTTATTTTTTTAAATTAATATTATCATGTGATCTTCATTTCATTGCTAGTCTTTTAATATTTCCTGTTGTAATGAAATGATGTGGTTTTCCAAGTGTGGCCTTTATTTTTCTGGTCTACAGAGCTAGCACATTTTCAGCCTTGCAAGACTGGTTACGATTGCTTTCCTTCCCTGTCCCCCACTGTTATATATTGTTCTGCAAGGTTGCAAAGTATTATCTAGGCAGTGAGAAAACAGGAAGCACAATTTAAACAACCAGAAGGGGGTTTTCAGAGTAAAAATGTAACGAAAAACAAAAACCTACAACAGTGAAACAATACAAAACAAAATTTCACTGTTAGGTATGTCATTGTTTCAGTTTAACCTTTGGGCACCAGAAAGTCCAAAGCTCTTAACTTTAGCATATACCACATCAGGAAATTCCAGTACTCAATGCCAACAGGATACAAGTGAAATCTCTACTTAAATCATTTTCCAAACTAATTCTTTAAGCAAACAAGAATGTTTCCATATTCCTCTTGAGGAAATGCTATTTTTCTGACCGTGGCCAATAAAAACTTACCATATATTCTGCATTTTACACTGAGAGATAATTTTAAAGCATGTTTTTTATTTTTTAACAAGCTAATGCTGGATTTTTTTCACACTATAATGCTGGACTACATGTAGGAGAGTATTACTTTCTTTGCTTCCATTCTCAAACCACAATGACTTGAAAACTGCAAGCACAAAGATGCTCCAGCCCAAGATATGACTTGTTTTTCTTCCCCATACTGCAGGTCAGGGGAGCAAAATATTTCAGCCATTATTCCTCTTCGGTGCTCTATCATTTGTAGGGAAGTAATTCCAGAGGTCTTCCCTCCTCTTACCACTCACTCTTTTCATTTTGACAAGAAGAAAAGAGCCCTCTCATTTAGATTAATTCTACAATTTACATGATGATCCTGAGCCACAACTGCAAAATGATACAGTGTAAACACCAAAACACTTATATTTTTACCACTTCATAGAAAGCTCAAGAAAGGACTCATTCAACCTTAGGACTCAAGGCAGTAGCTGCAAATTTGGTCAGGAATAACTTCACAAAGACTGAAATAAACTGCTGGGATGCCATAACACATCCCCTAAATCATCTCTGGCACAAATGGGTCCTTACCTTCAACTGCTCTCTAGACCCCTGGTGTAATTTTAATTGCATATTGCCTTCTTCAGTTGTCTAAAATCACAGCACAAGGCTGTGAACTTTTACCACTTCTACTGTACAGACCTCCAAAACTGTTATCTAAAATAACACAGCATTTCTGTTACCCCACATTTCTAAAAGACCACCTGAGGATTTCAGGAAAGCAGAACATATTCAAGAACATTTAACTAATGCTTCATGACTAAAGTTCTTTTTTTGGTGTATATTTGGTGGAATAATTTGATATTCCAGTTATAATTTAGTATCCAAGATGACACGTCTGTTGCTTAATGACCATGGTAACTATTTGTTACAAGCCAGCTGTAAACCCTGTTCTTTAAACATGAACCCAAAGAATGATGCTTCTGTACTGGAAACGTTCCAGCTATTTCCAATTGGTTTTGAAATAACTTTCCCATGGACTAGATAGGGTTATTTGCTTTTATTAATTTGGGTCTGTGTTACTAGAATTAGAAGTATAAGGGTTTTATGAAAAATCCCCACCCAGTCACTACCACAGAAACCTCATGGGGACCATTCCAAGTGCAGTACTTTGCTATTTCTTACCTGCCATAATCCTGACTGAGTAGATGTGCTTGTGGTATATCCTATAACACTTATCAGCTAGAAAAAGTGCAACAATGTAGGTTTCCAAAGAGTATGTGAGATGCAGCTTTGGGAATTTACACTCAATGTTTCTCACAGGAAATGTGACAGTAAAAGTCCATTTTTGTAAAGAAAAGGAATATGGGCAATGAACTGAAATGTGTGAGTTGAGGTTCTGAAGAATAATGGTGAGTGAACATTTGGACAACATGCAAGGGTCTTTCCTTCCAAAATAATTTTGTCATTTGGAAGATTTAAAACACACTCCAGGATGGCACAGTTGTAACAAGAAGGCTAAAACAACCACTGAGAAAGCTGAAGACCTCCCTAGAGAGAGAGCCACCAGTGTGCTAAGTAAAACAGCTTGAGAAAGGGACTGTCAGTAGCTGGTGATTGTTCTGAAACCATAACAAAGAGAGAACAACCAAGAGACACAAATGGCAAACAGGTTAAAAATAAAAAGTACTAAAGGTATGAAACCTAACCTTCCTGGTGATGCCTCTTGGCAAAAGATATTTCTCCCTCGTGCTGTGAATGGAACCTCTGAATGCATCTTCTCACCAAATCCTCCCAGCCAGGTTTCATAGCTGCTCGCATGGTACTTGTGTCCAATGAAGTTATTTTGCCTGATATTAGATACATTAGAAAATATTTGTTATAGCAATTTCTCCAACGAGGAAAAGGAAATACAATTAAAAACTTCTACTCTTATTTCACAATACCTTGAAGATCCTGGCGTGTAGTAAAGCTCTCTGACGAAGGAAGAAGTGGTCTTTCCTTCATTGGAGCTCTTCTTGCAACACAAATCAAGCAAGACTGCAAATCTTAGAGAAAAATGTTACTTCATTTTATTTTCATGAAAAGGGAAGACTTTTGCTTCCACAAAGACTTCAGAAATACTTTAAAAAAGTTCCTTAAATCTATTCAGACCAAAATATAGATTTTGTACTAATACATGCATAGACAAAACTCAGTAGATTTGTATCTTCATTACTTCCTAAAACATTAAATAAAACAGGAAAGGTGGCTTTGCTTTCTTTCGGAAAAAAAATTAACAAGGACTCCACCACAATCCATAAGTATTGGCACATGTTTATGAATCTACCTGTAGTAGCTCAACCACTTAGGAAGTAAGTAATAAAAGAGAATATACTGCATGCACAAAGAGCACGTTTCTTTAACACTCCCCACTTCATATTTTCTAAGTCAAATTCCTTAAACTTGCCTCAAATGCTTCCTGTTCCTGAAAACTCACCTTCACTATAACAATTTTTACTTACCTGAACACTTACAAAACAATCTGAGGAAATTTACCTGCTGAAGTAGTAAATGGGAAAGGAAATGGTGAACCACGATTGTCTTCAAATTCTAAGAATTCAAAAAATTGCCCTTTGAAACCTTCTTCCTAGTCAGCTACATTTTTTTTACAATTTCAGCAATATAAAACTAGGGTATCTCCCTTTGAGGTAAACAGAATTTCTCTCAGCTGGTTTAACGAATAGCTGCATGCAAGTGTATATCCTCATAGCCAAGACACAAAAGCACATTTCTACAGTTAAATAAAAAAAACCCCAAACCTAAGAATTTTTCCAATTTTCAAGACTTAGAGGTCAACTTTATCAACTGCTCTGAAAGTGCATTAACACAAACTGGAAATGGTAATTACCTTCACCGTCCTCCTTGAAGGAATTTGGTTGAGAAACAGCAAAGCACTGCATAGTTTCATATTTCTGATGTGCTTCCTGGTTATCGTGGCCTTCTTCAGACTCAGCTAGAGGCTTGACCAGCATGCGGCAATTGAAGGTATGGCTGTTCCGCCTCGGAGTGTCCCCAGACCAGGATCCCCCATTCACTGAGCAAAAGCAAAATCAGGTACTGAGACAAAGCTGCTACCAGGCATTTCTGCTGCTTATCCACAGGAAATTAATCAAGGTGTTTTACAAACTGGCTGGGAAACAAGCTCATTTAACAACAACAATTTAATTATAATATTAAAGCCCAAACCAGCACATAACTAGGTCATTTAAAAAATGAACAGATTTTAAGAGCACTGCTAATTTGTTCAGCTAGTATGTTTTCACAAGTGACTCAAAATAACATAGTAGAAAAGCAGCATATAAGTCTAAATATTGGTGCATGTAAAAGTTACACAGCACAGCAAAAGCCTACTGGGTAGATCAAGTTGATTTATGAGACTGAAAAACGTAAGGCAGTACGTAGGATCTTTCCAGCAAACTTAAAAGGTACTACTAGAAGACATGGCTGCATTGTATAAAAATCTCTGTCCAGGTTAGAAGGGAAAGAAATGAAACTAATATGCCCTTATAAAAACAGGAAGCAATACAATAGGGAATATATTGAAACACACAGTCACAGCTACAATGGGAAAGACTGAAGGGCTGAAATGACCTGGGTGGAGCTATGGATAAAACTAAAGCCTAACACAGTGCTTAAGACAAGTGAAAAAAGAAACAAAATCCAGAGATGCACAAATATAGGTACTGGACATCAGTCAGAGCGAATCACTGTTACACCACATTAGGAAATGGCAGGGTCATATTTAAAATACTCTTTGCTTGCCCCCTTCAGTTATAAAATGCAATAAATGCAGTAATATATTGACTTTAGCCATTTACATTTTTGCTTCTTCAGAGTATATAAGTACAGTAATAAAATGCTAAAGTGAATTGAGCAATACTTTTTAAACTGCTGTGAGTAAATGAGGAACCCAATATTGACTTTCTCTTTCTTTTCATCTCCTCCAACACTGAATGACATTAAAACTAATATTAATGAATCCAAACATGGCTGCAACTAACAAAAACAGTTTCCTAAAGTTAAGTATTGCTGAGAACAAAACCATTGAAATAAAAATTCTAATATAAGGAGGTTTCTGATTTTTCTTTTATATTTCTCCTTTCCTGGGCCATTTTTGGAATAAGCAGCCAAGACAGAGAACTAACAGAGTTCACATACCTAATGCTGTCTTTTAGTGATTCACTCTGGAGATCCATTAAAAATATCAGGTAACATGAACTACTAAAAGCAATTTTAACAAAGAAGAATTTGCAAAGAGTGGAGAATGCTTTTGAGAATAATATTAATCATTCATAGCCTATATATACATTAAAAATAAATAATGTATACTATGAAACTGTAAGCAGTGTCAGGACATTACCTTCAGTTATTAAAATGCTGACTTACAAAACCAAAGTTAAATAAGTAATGGTACAATATCAGGAGAAGTTATATACCTAAAGATTTTGGCAGCAGGATTTTGACAAATTCATTGTGGTCCCCTACATGCAGGATGCTGTATATGCTTGTGTTCATCAGCTCTTCTTGGTTGTACCTCAGGTACTGTGTCACATTCTCAGAAACAAACACAACATTACCCTCTGGGTTCACTACAAAGAAGAACCCATCTAGGGCCTAAAGGGGGAAAAATAAAAAATCAGAGAGAGAGAAAAACACAACAGCAAACAATCAGATTAACAAAATACATAGAAAATAAATACTCCATTCAGGAGACATAACTGAATTTTTCCATATCCATCCCAGTTCTTACATTATTGTCTCTAAGAGCAAAGGACACATTTCAGATTGAGCATCTAATCTTACTTATATGACAGCAGGGTAAAAGCACAGAAAGGTACACACCTTGCAAAATAATGAAACCCACAATCTCCAAGCATAACTGCAGATGGTAGAAATATATCATCCCTCTAATTTTATGTCATATAAGCAGATAAAGGGGGAATAAAAACTTAAAAGCACCAAAGCTTTTTGTCTAAGCATTCAATTAACTATCTACACAGACTTCTGCAGCTTTGCCTGATTTATTCACCTCTCTAAGGATTGGCAGGAAATCACTAGAAGAGTTGTTAGTTATTGTATCTCCAGGGTCAGAAATAAATTAGAAAAACAGGCCACCCACAATTCGTTGTGGGTCAAAACCAAGTGGATCCATACTAAATCTGAACACAGCTCACTGCAAAACAGTCTGGACAAGGAGGAGCTGCCACAGCAAGCACCAGGCATTTTTTTGACCCAACTTGTATAGTGTACAACTCATGTCTTGGTCTTAGCAGGCAGTTCTGTCCACCGGTTAGAGAGAGATGTTTAAAACATTGCACATTACTGAGCAATTAGCAAATTTAGATGATAAAATAGAAGGCTTAGGATGGATTTTATTTCCACCTTCAGCCATCCAGCAGAAGGCTAAAGAGATGACAGAACCAGGCTCTAGGCCAGAGGTTCACAAGGGAAGGATGAGATGCAACAGACACAGGTTGCAAATCAGGAAAATGTCATGGAGATACAAGAAAAAAAAAACACCATGAAGGTGGTCAGATATGGCAAGAGACTTCAAAATCACCTTCCAGAGATATTCAAACCTTGGCTGGACTCAAATCTGGCCCACCTGCTCTACTCAGACTAGACTGCAGTGGAGGTAGGAATACACAAGCTCCAGAGGTTCTTCCCAAACTTACTTAGATAAGTTAGATAATGATTCTGCTCCAGGGGAGGGTCAGTGAAAGCACAATGCAAGGGGGGCAGCTGAGCCAATGGCTGACAAATGCTTTCTTTGTCCTATTTTAAAATTAAAACATAATAAAACCCACAAATAAATGTGTAAGTGTGTACTTTCCCTGACTGCCTCTAAATTAAGATAAACCAGGTCTTTTTGTCCTCTTGTTGGCACAAATTCTAATCTCTGGCATTGTTTTTTATCATTGCCTTCTTTTTGTTTCTGATAATTTTTGGTTCCTCCTGTTGATTCACTTTCTGTGTGAGCTCCATCCTTTATATGTACTTTCTTAACATTCATTACATTTTCCTGCTGAGTAGTATTTATTTTAACTAATAAAGATTTACAAATTAGTTAATAAATTGAGGCTCTAGTGTAATTTTCAGCATAATAATTTCTAGTATCATAATCAGCATCTCTGCTATGGATTGGTGTTTTAGGCTGCATTTCACCACCATTTAAAGCCAGTGTAAGCATGGCCTGTTTGATTTAGTACTCCCTACACCACAACAGCAACCTGTACTGTGTGAGGCTATGAAGAGCTGACCAGAGAGCTGAGTTGGCTGAAAACTAATTAAATTAAAAAAAAGATGCTAGCCACATCAGTCTCCAGTTGGCCAACCATAGAAGCCACGGTATTTAGAGCTGGCAGAAGGGTGTGGGTTTGGCTGAACCATCCTGCTTGGCAGCTGTCCACACATCAATTCACAGGGGCTGCAAAACCAAAGCTAGCACAGATGTTTATTGGAGTCCTAAAGAGAAAATTTTCAAAGGTGGAGATGGCAAGCAAGAGATTATGAGAGTTACTGGCATCCCACAATAACCTTCAGTTTTCCCTACTGTTTCCTAGAGTGGCAACTTGTTTGGCAGAGAAGTGCTCTCTGTGCTGTTCCCTCACAGCTGTTTCTTGAGTTGATCACAGATGTGGCCATCTGGGCTTAGAGCAACAAAGGCCCTTATATTTCAGTCTCTCATTTCTTTCCATTCTCTTAAGAATCTTGCAGGTAAGCAGCAGCAGATTTTTGAGGAAGTTAGTGCACCTAGACACCTGAATATTTTAGAAGCCTCCACTTTGGCAGTAATTTCTTATTTCTGTTCCCAGATGTCAGCCACTGCAATCAAAAACTTTTTTTCAGAGCTATTGGGAAAATGGGTGAACAAATAATGGACAGTATGATGGAAGAGAAATCAAGAAAACAGATATTTTATATTATATATTGGAACAGAAAATACATTTGTGTTCTTAGAGATGTTGTCATCTCTCTCTTGACTATTTTTCCACAGTTTCTTCCTATCTACTTTATGCTTTAAGCAAGAAATATGTTAAAATATTCCTCAGAGGCAGCTGCCTGATGAATTTTACTCACTTTCTTCAGCTGGAAACACTCATTATTTTGAGTATTCTTCAGTTTTATTCTCTAATAAAAACATACAATAACATTTCTAAACCAAATCAACTAATAAACTGTTCATCAGCATTGCAATTTTTATTACTATTTGGCAATGAGAAAAGGTAGGGGGTTTTTAAGAGGTTGTATAAAAGGGTTCTGTAAAGATTAAATAACTGAATTGCATTTCCTTAAGGTGATAAAGACACAAAGAAAGTATCTGTAGTCTTTCCACAGCAAATACAGAACAACTTTCAGTCCTTTGTAAGTTTCCCGGTGCAAAAGGACTGTGGTTCATTAATTTCCACAATGTTTCATTGTTCATATGCAAAGGAAAACTAAATTAAATGGAACAACAGAATAAATGGTTGATTTTACATGTCATCTTTGCTGCAGTAGCCAATCACACAAGATAAGCCATGAAAAATATAATCTTATTCTTATTTTCTTGTCCTTACAAAACAGGTCCTTACAATTAAATTATCAGAAAATTAAAGATAAATTTTAACATAGCAGTGTAAGAGATGAATGCATAACCTTGTTCGATAGCAAAAACAACAACATTCAATTCAGTGAGTATGTACAATAAATATTAAATAAAATAAATTAATTTCTTATCCCCGCTTTTCAAAGAACAATGCCTCCAACCTGTCTAATCTTATGTTTTGCAGTGTGAATTTGGAGCCTTTATTTCATGCACAGTATAGAAAACTATGTCTTCTTTTGACCAATTATGAAAAATAAAGCAGATACTTAAAACTGTTATACAGGCATTCAGAAATGACAGAATAATTATGCTTCTGCCAAAGCTGGTTCCCTTAGCTTGATTCAGAGTTTGTGTTTTATGTTACCTAAAGTTACATTTATTCTTCCTTACAAATGAAGTCCACAGTCAGAATGGGATGGGAATAAACAGTTTGCAAGTGAGTTTAAGCAGATAAAGCAGTAGTGCACACGACATAAGGATCCCTGATTACATACCTACCCAACATTACTGCTAACACACATTTGGAAGCTAGGCTTGAATCATACAGCCTTTTGGGGTATCAAAATAACTGCTAAAATGAGACAGAAATCTTAACTGAAAAAACTGAAATACACATCCTGAAAATCTCTCCTAGATTACTTTCATATTCTAGGGGGAAGAGTCCTGCTTCAAGTGCTGAAATGATAAAATATTAAAGCAGTATAGCAATGACATGCAATTTCAGAGGAATATTATTCACTTGTATACTACAGTACACATAAGTCAATGTTTAAGTGCAACAGGTCCTCCACAGCTGTTGTGGTTCAGAAAAAATAAAACATGCACAAGCAGACACCCAACACTTGCTGTCAGCTGAAGCCCCTCAAGCTGTCCATGTTACAAAGAAGCAGAACTCTCTGGGTCTCTCCCTACCTCAAGCTGAGAGTTTCATCACTGAATGCAAGAGAAATAAATATGCTGTCTACTCTTTAATGGCGTAATCCCAATAGCCAGGATGGTTTGTCTCTCTTGACCATTCCTTCACAGCAACCTCTGACTACACCTTTTCATTTCATTCATCTCAGGAGGAGCAGAACTGCCCTAAATACATGGATTTTGTGCTCTTTACCTCAAGCATCATTGGTCCAAGTGCATCCTTGTCGATGACACTCTGACCTGTAGATGATACATCTGCTTTTTGCACTTCATCTTCATTAGCTGCTGCTGCTTTTTCTGCAAGAGAGAATACCATGTGTTAAGCGACAGAAGACTGATCTCACTGGTACACCAAAAGGCCACAGAGCATTGAGAAGAGCTGTGAAATGCTTACAGTGCAACAGTTCTGAAAATGAGATTAGACAGTCTCCCATAATGATTCAACGGAAGCAGAGCTAGCCTATTTGCTTCTCCGTTTTCAGGTCTTGTGACACAAATGAAATAATTTCTCATGTTTCTCTGCTAGAAATTTCACCAAACTACAGAGCCTAACACCGGGCAAAGACAAGGGCTCTTTATGAAGGTGCAGTGGGCAAAACCTAGGCTCAAGGTGTAGTCAAAGACTGATCTAAAAGAGCAGGCAAAGCTTACAGCTGCAGAGCATTTCCATGACTGCTATATTTAGAAGGAAAAACATAAGTCCACAATCTACGGTTTCAGTACCGAGAAAGAGCGGCCTCAGTTCTGCTCCCATGTCTCCACCCACGTTCTTACTATCACGTCATTTTCATACCGCCTTATTTACCAATATATTATTAGAACTACATACAATTTCAAGTGCTGCATTTGAAAATTGCAGGCAAGAAAATAATGATTTCAGTTCCTGGAACATAATGCCATACGTTAAAATGTGTATACAACATCACAGGTTATACCCAACTCCAAATGTAAGAGATATTCACAGAAATTTCAAACCTAGTGGGCTTAAAATTTCTATCAAGTAATGAACTGTATTAGTTTTTCTATTTCAATAATGCTATTTTTGTTTAAGGATGAATTAAAAAAACTAATAAAACCAGTATGTAAAATACATATTCTAATGCATATTGTACATTGTAAATTAATGAAACCAGTTACTTTTTGTTGTTAGTTCTATACTCAAAACAAAATTTGAGTTCTATACTCAAAATTATTTTACTATATTTCAAGCAGCAGTTATGTAAAAGCTAGTACCATCCTGCAATCTAGAATATTAAAAATAATATAAATTTCTTATTTTTTAATATAATGCAATAAATTATTTTACTAAACATGAAAGCACACTGAAATTTTAACAAGAATTTATGTCTCCAACAATAAACTAGAAGAACATTCATTGTAGGAATTACTGAAAGTACCACGTGCAGATGGAACAAAGGGCCTTTGGAAAACCACCGAGAGTGAAAATCAAAACATCAGTCATGCAAATTAAAATGTATCCAAGTGTACAGTATTTTCCACTATCTGTAGATCTGCAATAATGCAGGTGAAGTTCTTCTGAATTTCCCTGGCATAGGTTTTAAGGTCAGTGTGTGAATATGTGCTGCTCAGACATAGAATAAAGGAGCAGCTTTTGTGAAGCCCTGGGTGTTCTGTCAGCAATCACCTGCTGGCAATAAGGCTTTGGTCACTTGGGCTGTCTTATCCTAGATTTCTATGGTTTCTTGCTTTCATGAAAAGACTCACAAAAATTTTAGCTGTCTTCTTAGGTGTTATACACTATGTAACACCATTGTGAATAATGATTTAACAAATTGCTCTGAAGATGGAGTTGCAGCTAACCATCTAATTTTAAATCAGTCTGATTACCATAATCTCATAGAAATAAATTCACTAGAAAGAACTATTAACATTTCCTCTGCCACTTGAACTCACGAGGACATAGAATTAGTATCTCTGGTTTAGACTAGGGGTGGGATTTTATTTTTTTCCTTACCTCACTTGTTTTGGCAAAAAGCAGAAATTAGGTGTAACAGAAAAACAATTGAACAATCCTTCCCATGCTACAATACAGCAGAGTTGGCACCATATGATGATACGAAACTGAAAACATGTTCTAAAAATTCTAAAAGAACTCTAAAAATAGAGTTGAGCTTTTAATAAAGCCAGTGATGATATCTGTTTCCCATCTGTTCCTGCTAGCATAAAGTGATCTCTTATTTTCATGCTGCAAAATATTAGAATGGACAGGGATACCAGCTTCTTGCTCTCATTTGACCACTGTTTCAGCCATTGATACCATCTTGATTATGGGAGAACATGGAATTATTCTCTATGAGCCAGAAATGGAGGGGCTGCAGATATGATCCAACAATGGTGTGAAAGCACATTCATTACAGTTTCCTTATGCCACCAGTTTACAGACTACTTTTACTGATTATTTTTACATAATACGAAATATTTGCTGCTGATTTTTTTCACTCTTACAACCATGGAGTTTTTATACATTGATAAAAACTATGGTTTTCTTTCATGCACAATGATAAGGTTTTATACAAAGGAAAAAGAGGACATTTTAAATTATTATAATAGTAATCAATACAGAAGCTGCAATACCTGGTCAGATCAAGATTCTCTCAAACCTCACATCCAGTTCCTGAGAGCCACTGCTTTCCTCTCTACTTCCCTCTTTTCTCCATTTTGATTGTTTGATCCCTAACTGCTTCTGTTTCATCACCAGCTGTCCTTCACAACCATCTGACTTCTTCATTTTCTTTTACACTCTTTTCCTCAGAGAACCCAACATCTCTGTGGAATCAATAAACTCAGTGCTTTCTCAAGGAAAAAGCGTAATGAATGGAGAAAATATGAAAACTCTGTTTCTACTCGAATATTACCCACCCTCTCTTCCCAGAGATGGTGACAATGTACCACTCATGAACTACTAATACTCAATGCTCACTACTCATGAACTTTGGCTAGGCACTCTGAAAAGCAGTATAAATCACAAGTGCTCCAAAATGATTGACTTCCTAATTGGATCTGTAACTTAATTGGGTAAGAATTCAAGTAGCTGGAGAGCTTAGAAGAGGCTACACATCCAGGCCGTAAGCCACACTTAAATTTAAGTGGCATTGTATAGGAAACCTAGGCCTCAGACAGCCTCTGAGTAGGACCAGCTGTAATTCACGTCACTGCTAGAAGCTGCAGCTACTAATAACATTCAACTATGCAATAAATGATCCATTTTGGACTGAATTACAAAGCCCCTCGAGTAGACTTTATCAGCACTTCCAAGACAAGTAAGTGCGAATCCTGTCAGCAGTGTCGTCCTGACAGTCAGTCATGGCGAATGTCTTGAAATGCAAATCTCTCCCTCAGCAATACAGCCCATGGGGCTAATTGACAACAAAAATTTGTTACAGAAAGGCTGGAAAAAACCAATGATTGATACATGAATTTCTAATGCTGACAAAATAATGCATTATCACAAGTCAGTATTCTTCGTTTTCCTTAACAGTTGCAGCTTCCAGTGTTAAGTAATGGTGCAAAAATGTAAAGTTCACTTTCCCTTTTTTACTTCTATCTTTTTTGAGTTCATGGGAGCCCAACAAAGAAATCAAAAGCTCAGAGAGCTTATAATTGCTATCCTACATTAATGATCTTTGAATGTCAAGGCTTAGGAAAACAGCTGTAAAGGCCCAACCTTGCAAAGCGCTCAGAACCCTGTTCTCTCAGACCCAGGAGAACCCCTGGTGTTACCCTCTGACTAAGCACAGCCACTGGATTTTGCCACTGCAGCCACATGGAGAGTGGGAGTTGCTTCCCTGACCTCACAGCTCCCAGTGATGCCTCCTGCTAGAACAGCCCCTGTTAAATGTCAGCCAAGTGCTACCAGGTATCCTACAGGCACAGCGGCCAAAGGCAGCGGAGCAAGAGTGTGGGCAGAGGTTGTATTTACAGGGCTGTATTTACAGCCTTCTGCAGCCAGAGTAAGTGAGCAGCATGGAAGGGACTTCCCATGGCTTCATCTCCATACAGGGAATTCTGCACTGGAGAGGCAGCATGGAATTAGAAACTGGTCCCATCCTAATGAATATAGCTACCAGGGATCAAGCATATTTTATCTGAATTACAGTAGTATAAACTTGAAGCACATTAAATAATTATTAGCTCTGCTCAATTAAGAGTTTAGCCTAGAGAGAGAAAAAAATTTAAATAAAATGCAAGTACCCCTGAGAGAGATACTACAAAGAATATATACATCCAATTATGTAGTATTTTAGTGATGTGTGTAATTTAGACTTTAAACTGTGGAGATGTTTACAATTGCATAAGCAGTATTATACTAAAATACATATTAATATTTTCAATTGGGCATCTTCCTAGTGATCATAAACTGTATTTACTTTTCTACATTTAACCTACAGAATAAAGAAGGAAAAAAAAGCCCTCAAAAATATTTTCTGACAAATTTATGAGTGGGAAGCCTCAAGCTTTATTTAAAGCTCATTCCAGATTCTGAAAGCAAACCTTTGTGAAATCACATTAGTTTAACAGAAATTCATAAGTCAGAGAAACAGAAGCCAAAAGCAATAGTTGGAAGTCTCCTGCTACATTTTAACTTAGCAAGCCCTCTTGGTTTTCCATCCTCCCAACTCAAACTATGTCAGTTCTCTCTGCATTTCTGACAGCAGACTCTGAAGTGTTAATGACAGGCATCACCTTCTCTTGGTTGTGTTTCAAACTCTACTTTCCTACAGGTGGGCAGGCAGGACCAGCTGAACCACTCAAAAAGCTCTCTTTGTCTGTATTCAAGCTCTGCTCCAACTTCCTTAAGGAAACCTGCTACAGAAGTATTTCCCCCTTCGTGCTCTCTGCAAAACCAAGATGCATTTTTAAACTAAAAGAGCAAAACTTAGCCTCTGCAGGAATTTCAAAAAAGATGAAGCATAATTTGAAAGAGAAAATTTGCATCAACACAGATGTAGTTTATTTTTCACTGGAGCAACATTTAAAGATCTTCACAGAACAAGAAGAGCAAAAAAGAGATGCTGGTGAAATGCTGGGCAGACAAAAACTCATGCTCCAAAAACCACAAAAAAAAAAAAGGTTAAGCAAAAAAAAAAAAACCAAAACCAAAAAAAACCCAAATACCCTGTAACAGGTAAATTCAAGTTCACTATCCAATAGTGTTTAAAACAGGGTTTCCAGATGCCCTATATGTAATTCCTGCTCTTTGTAATTTTCTGGAATTGCTATTGAAACGCCACACTTATCTCAAATCACATACCTTTTCTGTACAATAGATAAAAAAT